CGCTCAGAATACCATTGCTCTTGCGAACTGGCTGGAGAAACACGAAAACGTAGTGTGGGTTTCGTATCCTGGTCTTCCTAGTCACCCTCACTATAAGCTCGCGCAGAAGTATCTACCCCGCGGAGCTGGGGCGGTACTTATGTTTGGAATCAGGGGCGGAGCGGATGCTGGTGAACAGCTGGTTGACAACTTCAAGATGATCTCGAATAACCCAGGGTAAGTGACGAATACCGTGCCGTTGGCACCCACCTGCTACTTGTGCTGATTTATAGTTAGATATGGAGACGCGAAAACGACTGCCATGCACCCCTGGTCGACAACACATAAACCTATGCTACCACAGGAAAAGATCGATCTTGGAGTTGCGCCCGAAATGGTCAGAGTTTCAGTTGGCATCGAGCACATTGACGATATCATCCACGACATTGAACAGAGCATGAGCATCAGTCCCGCTGTTCCAAAGGCATAGATTGGACAAGAGCTCGTGTCCCTAGACATTTAGTATTAAATATTCAGCTTGCTTCTGTTGCAAATTCTGGGCTGCCAAGTGCGTAAAGTACTTTTCAAACGTATGATCATCTGTCTTTGCCGGGTTCAAAAGATTCTATGGTGTTTACCTGCCCACGTGGTGTGTTTCTCATCAAGCCGGTTCATATTCGCACTCCACATGTTCAATACACAAAATACTAGTATGAGTATCATCACTACAATACACAAAAGTACTTGAAGCTACCTAATCTTGAATATCTGCTCTCTGGGGATCTGTGGTAACCTGCGCAATGTCATCATCAAGGTTCTTGTCCCAAATCCAACTCATCCTGTTTTTCATAATCTCCGTAATCTTCCCAAGGTCATCCTCCTCAGCTTCAAAGTGCCACAAGTGACCAGCTTCTCGGCTTGTAGCAACGAGATTCTGCGTGCGTTCAACTCGAGCTCGACTGAAGGATTTGAAAACGCCAGACAGATCCTGTGCTTGCTGGACATTGTGGAGGAGCCTTCCGAGAACATAGGCATCCTCCACGGCCATACCCGCACCGGCTCCTTGAAAGGGTGTTGAAGCATGTGCAGCGTCTCCGAGGAGACAAATCCTGCCCTTGTGGTAATTCTCCATAGGCGAAAGATCGAAGAGCGCCCAAATATCTGATTGGCCCATAAGTCGAACAATGTTGAGTACATCTGGACCCCATGTGCTGAAACTCTGCAGCATCTGTTCCTTGGTTGCCGGGATGACCATCGTCTTGTGAGGCCATTCCTTTGATGACTGAAAGGCGACCACATTCATCATTCTACCACCAGCAACGGGAAAGGTGAGCATGTGGCCGTGGTACCCCAGATATGCTTGGCAGTTCTTCGCCTTCTCCTCGCCTAGAAGCTCCACAGCTTTGTCCATCGAAACCATTCCTCTGTAGCAGTATTTGCCGGTATAAGAGGGATTGGTGGCGGGATGATCTTCTCCAAGCATGATGTGTCGGGTTTGACTCTTGATCCCATCGCATCCGATGACGGCACTATGCCTCGCTGACGTCCCATCCCCAAACTTCAAAAGGACACCATTGTCTCCAAGGTCGTCTATACCGTGTAAAGCCTTGCTGAAATGCGCTATTCCAGTCGGAAGGAGCTTGGCTATCTCATCAACAAGATGCGAGCGATTCACCATCCAGCTTCCTGGTTCGGGATGCTCCACAGAGCAGAGGTACGTCCCGGCAACGACACCACGGGCTCTGGCGGTCTCATCGGCACTGTCCATCCCGACTCTAAAGTCGAACCAGATGTTTTCCTTGTCTGCGAAAATGTTTCTGTTCGCCCGAGCTTCAACTGCAGCCGCCAGTGGCTTCGATATCTTCGTAATTGCTCGTACTGCATTTGGTCCGAAGGCGACACCGGCTCCTATCTCGCCGAATTTTGGAGCATTCTCATACACAGTGACCGGGATTTTTGTGTGAGTTGTGATGTATAGGGCCAGGCAGAGGCCACCGATACCACCGCCAACGATGGCCAGACTGAGGTCTTTGTCTGGTGACATTGGGAATCAAGCACGTTTTCAATAAGCAAAGACAATGATGGGGCGTGGGGTAGATGTCAGGCCCAGAAGACGGATGACGCAGTGACTGAGATATGAGATATGAGCTGACACAGATGCATTATACTAGATAATAGAATCCGATAAGGTTTCTTAATGCTTCAGCTAGTGACCGAAGGCGTCTGAATCTAGGTGCTGCATTCTATCAACCACTCGGTTGGGCATTAGCCAGAATGGCCCTGTTGTGACCATGTCCTATACAGTAAAGAATTCAAAATTAGTACCCAGGATACGTGCTTGCCTGGACGCCTGGTAGAATGACCGAGAAACCGAGCTCCTGTAAGCCGCCACAGCGTGTCGGCCGAAAACTCCGGAGCTCAATCACGCCCCAGGCATGTGACCGAGCTGATACAATCTGCCAGGGTTGGGAAAGCAATCGGTATTGGCATAATGACCGGAGAGCTTCGGGGAGGTCAATAGACAAGACATGAATAACGTCTTCTCAATGCTCACTTGAACTTGAACTCACACCGTCAAAAGAACACAGCACAACTCAATTGACCCAGCACAAGTCACTGCTATCACAAAACCTATCTACAATGTCTGCACAAATTGGGCTCTACTACCCAATCTTAAGGGACAAGTTTCAGCAAAACCTGTTGGCAGTGGCGGGATGGACAATTCTTTGCGCTTGCGCCTTCGGGGTCCTGCTTCTCTGGTCATTTGCAGTCGAGGTCAGAATGCCAAAACTTTCGATTGCATTGGAAGATGAGGTACCCGATCGACAGGAGCGAATTGATATTTTCATCAAAGACACAAGAAGGTTGTTCATCACAAGTTACAACAAAGTATGCTCATTTCTTTTGCGATTGTGATTAGCAATAACGGGGTTCCAAGCTGAATTTCTGACAACGATAAGTTCCAAAATCGGGTATTTGGGATAAACACGACTGAGGGTTAGTTGGAAAATACTAGGGGACATTCGCGAAATGTTCCCTGCCGTTGACAATTTTGCAGGCACGAACATCATTATACCCCTCGAGCTACTCCACGGGCTAGGAAGCCACAAATCCCTGAGTTTCGCTGCATTTCTCGAAGAAGAGGTACGTACCTGACATGGAATTCACTTATTCTCGTAACAGTGAAGAAGTCGTTTCTAACTCGCTGCTCAACCTTCTGGAGATGGTAGTTTAGTATGAAGAAGTATACTAAAGTTGGCAACCTCGATGAGAAACAAATCGCCATCGTAAACAAGAAGCTGAACCCGAGTCTTCGTGAGCAGTCCTCGGAAGTTATTATTCCAAGACTCAATCATGCATCTAACTGTTCTCAGCGCAATATGTTCCAGTACTTATTGATTTGATACGCAGCCACTGGCCACTCGAAACCTATGGAGGTAAGTCTCAAATCCTTGAATCCTTCAGCCAAAGCAACCTGGCTCTCAGGCGTTTCTTGGAGACTTTTGGACTTCACCTAATAATGCTTTCACCTTTGGCAATACTTACTTTTTGAATAGTTCCCACAGTTGTCAAGCCGTGGCCACACGTTATGCGTCAGGTTTCTCGTGTCTCCGCAAGACTATTTCACAGCGCTGAGTCGGCGGATAATGATCAATGGCTGGATATTGCCAGCGAGCATGTCCATTCTGCTGTCATTTGGACGGAAAATCTGAAGAAGTGGCCAGCAGCGCTGCGACCTTTTGTCCATCGATTTGTCAAGGGTCGCGGAATCATGATGCAGCGCTTTGGCGAAGGCAAAGCTTTGGTAGCCAAGACTTTGCAAAGAAGAAGGCTGCTTGGAGGGAAGCCCCTGAGCTGTCCTCCCGCACTGCTGGACTATCTTGCCGACATGGTTCTTGGCCCAGACGACGTGGAGACGCACACAGTTTCTCAAATCAACTTGTGCGTAGCCGCCATTCAATCTATGGCTGCAACAGTCACCCAGTGTCTCATGGATCTTGCGACTTACCCGGAGTACATTTCTGAGCTTCGTGATGAGATTGAAATGGTCCTGGCTCGAGGGAACGGGGTACTCAGCAAGCAATCATTGACGGATATGATGAAGCTGGATAGTGTCATCAAGGAAACTCAGCGATTGAACCCGCCGGATCTGGGTACGTATAAGTCCAACACAATACTACGGCAATGAGGGGACGTTTCAACTGACATCAACCAATCATAACAGCAAGCTTTCAGCGGAAGGTTATGTCGGACTTCACATTATCAAACGGCCTTCGCATCCCGAAAGGCGCACGCATCGCATTGCCGACTGGAGCCATCAACATGGACCAAGATCTGTTCCAGAATCCTGAGGTGTTTGATGGTCTCCGATTCTATCGAATGCGCGTCGCTAAAGACGAGGCCCGAAGCAGCAATCAAATGGTGACGGTAGGTAAAAAGGACCTAACATGGGGTTATGGCAGGCATGCTTGTCCAGGCCGATACATTGCCGAGGTCGCCATGAAGCTGTTGCTGATCGAGTATATCACGCGCTATGATATCCGGCTATCTGGGGATTTGAAGACTCGGCCGAAAAACATCGAGTTCGAGGGATTGGTAAGAACGACGCCTTGCCTTCTGCTATCGACGATCGGAATGCCAATGGTTTTCTAACGAGCGCAGGTTATTCCCGACCCCGACTGGGAGTTGCTGTTGACGAGTCGACTTACGAACGAGACTGCTTCAGGTCGAGAGAGCTGAGTTAAAGTTATGTGATAAGTGTCATCATGGAGCACATGCAGCCGTGAAAGAGGAATTAAGTAAATTTGGTGCATTCGGAATGGTAGATAGAAGTAGGCAGCATTCTGTGTATCCATGTTTTGTTGTGTGCCATTTCAGTCATTGCATAAGTTGAACAAACCAAATTGTCAAATCTCAGTCGGTGTGCGTATTAGATTTCACAGTAGTGGTGTAAGGTAGTCAAGAAATGTAGTGATCGGATAATGGTCAATTAGGAAGTAAGATGAATTGACAAAAAGCTTCTATTGCATGGACACACCGCCTGTCACAAACATGTACTCGCCGTTGATGAACCGTGATCGCTCCTCAGCTAAGAACGCAACTGCCCATGCGACATCTTCAACAGATGCCGCACCACCTTCCACCGGTGTATCTCTGATGAAGACTTCTCTCAATCCTTCCCATTCTTCGGGAGAGAAGTGCTCCAGAAAACTCTCTGTCAGCACTGGGCCTGGTGCAACCATGTTGACCGTGCAGCCATACTTCGGCGGTAATTCCTTTGCCCAAACACGCAAGATTGCATCCAAAGCCCCTTTGGTCGCTGCGTAGATTCCTTGAGTCGGCTTCGGTACTCGGGACGCCGCTGACCCCACCATGATGATGCGGGAGCCGCCAATAGCACCAGACATGTTCGGAGGGTCGGCCGATTCGTAAGGCGTGAGATGTGGGAGCGCTGCTTTGACCAGTGCGAAAGCGCCGCGTGCATTCAGGTTCATGGCTTGATCCCACATGCTCAAGTCAGCGTCCCAGAGGTGTGCAATGGGCACGTATCCGGCATTGCTCACGAGGATATCGATGTGACCGAACCTTGCCACAGCTTGGCGCACCAATTCTTCTGGCCCTTCATCCGCCGTGAGGTCGGCACAGACCGCGATCCAATCAGTTTGGAGTTTCGCTCCAGTAGCTTCGCATTCTTGCTTCAAAGAACCCCAAGGGTAGTTCAGAACGATGTTTGCTCCACGACTTGAGAGTTCCATTGCAATTCCAGCCCCAATGCCTTTTGACGAACCCGACACGAGGGCTACCCTGTTCGTCATCGTCCCCCGGGGTGATATAGGCGCATGAACTGGTGGTGACATGGTCTGCGCGGGCGTTGAATTTAGCGTGAGTGTCTAGTAAGGTAGGTTGAAACAAGTGGAGCAGGGAACCTGAGCTCCAGAGGCAAGAATGTAAGTAGGAATCTTGTCAACTTGATGGTTGTCAGATTCGCAGTAGAAGTAAGGGGGCCTCTACTTAGTAAGGTAAAGTACTTTGGTCATTGATATGTGCGTCCTGGTGGTTTGAGACCCATACTTCAGACGGATCTTCGGGATATATGCACCGAGAGTGGCCGAAAGCAAATATCTCACCAAATCAACAGCTGTTCGTAGTTGAGACAAGAACGCGTCGAGCTCAGAATATTATCACATCCGTGGGTGTTTTTTCCATTTCCAAGACCCATTGGATCCAAGCGGCTCAGAAAACCCAATGTAAATACTGCGCAACTAAGTAAGGTCCAATACACTTGCTTCATTTCTGAAATTGCTCTTGACACTCATAAAACTGCTGCATTCTTCTTACTCTGGCCTAAGTTCTGGCAAGTATTCTCCGTAGCCTCTTTTCTCAGTGCCTTGTTTGTGCTCTCAAATCTATGCCTCAATCGGCATGGTAGGGAAATCCTTGAGTCCCGGTAGATCTTCGTATCTCTTCGTGAAAAAGGCACGAGGAATATCCGGTCCCCAGCTGGAGACTGTGGCAGCAACAGCTGGCTCATTGGCATTTGGAGAGTCTTCGTTCACGAGGTCGCCGTCGACGTAATGCTCGACAACAAATCCAGAGGGATCAAACCTAGACAGGGATATTAGGGATGCCATGATCAAGAAAACATTTGAAGCTAAGACTCTTACCAGTAATCAAAGATCTGGCTGCCGAGGACATGTCTTCCCACGCCGAAAACGTTGATATGTCCCTTGCGGATCAAGTAGTGGTGGCCAACTACTTGGCTGTCAACATCATCTATCTCCCAGCTGCTATGATGAGCCTTGATTCCATCGGTAACCTCGGGCGAACCAGCGATGAAGATGTTCTGCATTTTATATGTCAGCTCATACCAAATCTCAGAGCGTTCGGAGAGACACCAACATGATGATCGACGAACTCCTTGCCCTTGTCGAGATGAATGAAGATCATGATTGTCTTATTATTCTGGGGGTGGTAAAGGCAATCGGTCTTTTTGAAATTAAAAACCTTGCTATACCAGTCAAAGACCTCGTGCAGACGATCGATGTTCACTTCGAACCCGTAATGACCGAGCTTGTGTACTTTCGATGGTTGGTCTCGATCTGGTCGCTGGAACTCACCGAGCCTCTTCTTGTCCTCCCAGGTGTTCCACATTACTGGCTTGGGAACCTCTCTAAGCTCGGGGACGCGGTCTTCTTGGCCGTAGATCAAAGTGATTGGCTCTCCTAGGAGATCCTTGACAATGACGACTTTCCCTCCACCTGGAGCATCGTAGTCGGCGATCGGGGTAGATCCGGGGAGCTTCGCCGCCTTCTCTAGCTCAGCCATGGACTGCACAATCCAAGCGCCTCCCCTAAACTTCCTCATTCCGTCGTTCGTCTTTTCAGCAACGTAGCAAAACTGATCAATTCCGAATCCTCGTAGGTAGACCTTATCCTCGGTTTCCCGCACAGGTATCAAACCGAAGTCGGTATAGAACTCCTTTGCTTTCTGAATGTCGGGGTGGCCATAACGGACGTGAGAGAGACGATCGAGAAGGATGCGAGAATCAGCCGAATGTTGGGTCATTTTGTGAACCGAATGCAGTGGTGACGATCAGTCTGAGAAGCAACGTAGCGGAGGGGTTGAATGTGAATATGAAAGTTTAATGATCACGCTTGTTGGAAGAGAGTGGTAATTACTGGTATTTCCACGCTTCTTATTGCCTTCGCCCTCCGAATCCCCGAATTGGGGTAAACTGACTGGCGACTTAACTCCCGTGATCTCGGTGTAAGTTGCCGAAAGGCAAATCCTCGGCCGGCCATTCTCTCCAGCACAGTCCACCACTGCCGTCAACGCGCTGCGAGACCAGACTGCGTCGACGTAATGTCTCCCCGTCCTACTAAGATATAATCCCACTCGACCGACGACAAAAATTATGTTTGCTTCAGAGCAGCCAGTAATCCACGCCCCCTTGTTTTCAGGTCACTCATAATCAAAGCGAAACCGGAAAAAAGACAATCTTCATCTCAATAAGTTGTCATGTCATTTGACAGATTGATACGATTTGAAGACGCGGAAGGCGTTGAGAGATATGGCAATATTGACAACAACGTTCCGGCAACGGAGCTGCTTGGAAAGACAGTGCAAGTAGTATTGGGTACTTTGGAGTCTGGCTTCAACGTATCTGATGATCAAGCCGTAGTCGGCAAAGTAGGACTGTCCAATCTCGAACTGAAGTTTACACAGACTAATCTCATTTACGTAGCTATTGTGTCCGCTGCCAAACACACCTCTCATTATCTGTGCTGGGGTCAATTACAAGTCTCATGCAAGCGAAACAAAGGTGAGAGTGATGCGACTGAACGTGAAAGGCTTCCATCAAAGCAGGCGCTAAGGATTACTTCTCAATTCAAAGTTCCAACCGCCCAAGAAGCCTGTAATTTTTGCTACCCCTCCCGACAGGCTTGCAGGACCGCTGGACGATATCAAGATCCACCCAGACGCGCAGGAGCTACTTGATTACGAGGGTGAACTAAGCGTTGTGATCGCCAAAGATGGATTCGACATCAGCGAAGACGAGGCGCTGGATTACGTTCTTGGTTACACCGTAAGCAACGACGTGTCAGCGCGTAACCTTCACGCACTCGACGTCTCCGGATATCAAATGGGCTACGCAAAGTCTTTTGACGGATTCGGACCTATTGGACCCAGCCTAGTGTCCCCTAAGCTGATCCCCGACCCGCAAAATCTGAAGCTCACGACCACTGTGAACGGCACCGTCCGTCAAAGCAGTGACACGTCTCAGATGATTTGGTCATGCCGCCAGCTCATCTCATTCGTGTCTCGCGGTCGCACGCTGCGTCGAGGAACTATCATTATGACCGGAACGCCGGAGGGCGTAGGATGGCACACCAATGGCTGCTTGAACGATGGTGATGTGGTTGAGGTCGAGATCGAGAAGCTGGGTCATATCAAGAACAAGATGATCTTCCAAAAGAGCGACTAAAGTGCCGTCCGTCACCAGCTTTAGGTCGAGAATCTTCTTTAAGTCTCCCAAAGACCATTATGTTTTAGCAAATGCATGTAGATGAGATATAAATTCAAACGATGAACATCAGACTCGCGTCTCCCATGATTTAACATATGCTCTGCAGACATATCTGGGAATACCTAGTGGCTCCTCTCTCTGGTCGCCGCATGCGTTGCCCACCTCAGGCCATGCAACCGCCACATTCGCTCAAACCAATTTTTAGAACGACGCAGTCGCATCCTCGATTGTAGTAGAAGGCAATAATAATTCAAATCTCCACACATCGACGATTGATTCCTTTCCCTTTCCCTTTCCGTTGGTCTCACCAGATAAGTGTGTAACAATTGGCACTAGAACCACATGCAGGGGTCACAAGTCTCTTCCTTTTCATCATTGATACTGTACTACGTAGTTAGCAGCGACTATGACAAGGGTTCCACATCCTTGTTGAATTCCATCTCGGCGCCGTGCTTCTCTTTTCGTTTCGTTGACTGGTTAATGCAATTGACAAGGTACCGGCCTTCTCGGATTTCTCGGCCGAAGTTGCCGGTCACCTGTCGCTGCCCCGCTCCGTAAGTCCGGGCTCGGGTAAGTGAATTATCCCTAAATACATCTGCTTAAGAACTCCATCTCTAACGGTGACATTGTACTTCGAGGACGGACCGATTTTCGTTGTTAGCTTGACCAATCATAACCGACACCCGATACGCGTCGCACAATGACAACAAGCCAAACTACGCCTCAAGCAACCGGCTCCATTCTGCTGAAAGGAGGCACCCTACTGTTTCACAATGAGCGAGATGATGTGACGCCTCTCAAGAACACCGACATACTTGTGCAAGGCAACCGTATTGCCAAGATTGGAAAAGCAATTGCACTCCCGGCAGGAGCTCAGCTCGTCGACTGCAGCGGCAAGATCATTAGCCCAGGTTTTGTTGACACCCATCACCACCTTTGGCAGACCCAGCTCAAGGGGTGCCATGCAGACCAATCAATCTTTGACTACGTTCCCTCTGGTAAGTTAATTTATGCCTATATCAACGAAGAATTATAGAGCAGCCTCGTTAACACAGCTCAGGTTATTGGCAAAGCCATGTCTATTCTCCCAAGGACATGTTCTGGGGCCAGTTGGGTGGCGCACTGGAAGCGATAGATGCTGGAACAACTTTCGTACTTGATCATGCTCATGGCAATCAAACCAATGACCATGGTAGGACTCTTTCGGCGTGTGGAGGAGTTATTTAGCAGAATAACATACTGATGAACTCATTACATAGCCACCCAAGCGCTATCAGCCACAATTGCTTCAGGCATTCGCTCAATTTTCGCCTACTCCCAAGCCCCATATTTCACGAAATGGGACTCTAAAACCTGCGAGCTATCAATGGATATCATGCCAGACTCAAGCATGGCGCATATCTTTGAGCTTGCAAAAGCACAGCCCTATGGAAACGGGAGGGTTCAAATCGGATTCGGATTCGACTATTGGTTTCTCCCCAAAGAGGCCATCGTAGGCATTTTCAACGGACTTCGCCATGCTGGTATCAAGCTTTTTACCTCTCACTACGCGAAAAATCCAACCTTTGGTACGTATGCTGGCGTTTGGCGTTACTATTTTCCCATGGATATGTGAAATTCTGATTGGAAGCCAGGAGCAAACCCCCTGATCCACACCCTGGAGGCTTATGGTCTCATCAAGTCACCTAGTGACATCTTGCTGTCGCACGCCACAGGCCTCGATGCGAGCGAGAAAGCCAAACTGGCTGAAACCCAGGTTGCTGTGTCGAGCACTCCAGACACGGAAGCTCAGATGGGCTTCGGCTGGCCTCTTGCCTTCTCATCAGGCATTAACTACACGATCGGTGTCGATTGCCACACAAATAACACATCCTCAATCCTGTCTCTCGCTCGATCTGCTTTGCAGATGGCGCGCCAACGCGAGGCGATTGCGGAGACAAATGGTTCAGATGGCGCTCCTCAGAAACTGAATCTCCAGCCGGCGGGCAGCACCCAGGATGCTTTCAACGCAGCAACCATCAGAGGAGCGCGTGCGGTGCTTTTGGGGGACGAGATTGGGTCCCTAAAGGAGGGAAAGTTGGCTGACCTGATCCTCTTTGATGCTGCCGGGAGTGTGACAATGAGTTGCGTAGCAGACTCGGATCCTTTGACTGCGGTTGTTCGTCACAGCGATATTCGAGATATCGAAGCTGTTCTCATAGACGGAGTCTGGAGGAAGCAAGGAGGCAAAGTCTGCCCAGTGACCGTTGCAGAGACAGGATCCACTTTGCAGTGGGCTGAAATCAGGGATAAGTTGCTTGAGAGCCAGCGGGAGATTCAGCAGCGACAGAAGAACTTGAATATGGAAAAGGCGAAGGAGGCTCTTGTTGCCATGTACCGGATCAACACAAACAACTTGATCGAGAAGCAAAAAAAAACTTAGGACTTGAGCACGTACTAGTAACTTAGGAGAATGGCACTTGCTATACTTTTTCTTGTACATGCACGTCAACACAGTCTTGTAGCATACCTACACCAGGGCTAATCCGTTGAATATCAAACTGCTTCTTCACACCTAGAAGCGACGCACCGTCGAAGTGCCGAACAGGCGGCGGGCAGATCTCATCTAGTCGGCCGAAAGAGCGAGGCGGCGCAACGACCCCGAGAGTCACGTAATGTAGGTAGCCTTCTCCCCGCAGAAGGTCTAACCTTGCTCAAAGTCGCGAGGGATATTAGAATGCAACTGTCAGCCCCTTGACTCTACCATTCTGTTTGTCTTTGTGATCCATCGCTGTCCTCTTTTTACAATTCCAAATTCAAGCATTTTCCCACACGCACAAAGATGGCTGTATCAGACAACGCAACCAAGACCGTTGCTTTGGCTGGGGTGAGTCATAACATGCTTTGATCAACGACGATCACTTCAACCCCAGAGCAATCAACTGATTCGAAGAGCGTGCTCGATTAGGCGAGCGGTAACTTGGGTCTTCGTATCCTAGAATCCCTGCTCGATGCCGAGTTCGATGTGACAGTCCTAATTCGCCGCGAAAGCACCCCGATTGATTACCCTGTCAAAGCCCGAGTGGTAGAAGTCGACTATGATTCGTCCGAGTCACTTCAGAATGCTCTTAGGGGCACCGACGTTGTAGTTTCTGCAGTCGGCAAGCAGAGTGGATTGCAGAGCCAGTTCAAACTCATCGATGCTGCGATCGCCGCTGGGGTAAAACGATTCATCCCGTCGGAGTTCGGTGCGGATCTCCAGAACCCTAAGATTCGTGCCTTTCCGACCTACCGAACTAAGGTAGAGGTCGAAGATTACCTGGAGAAGGAAGTCCGGGACACTGGATTGACTTATACCTACGTCTACAACAGCGTTTTGTTTGACGAAGGCCTGTCACTCGGGGCATTTGCGAACTTCTCGACCCGGACAGTGAACATCTTCGATGGCGGGGACACAACATTTTCTGCAACGAGGATCAAGACAGTCGCGCAGGCTGTTGCTGCTATCCTCAAGAACCTGGACGCAACTAAGAACAAGGCCGTTCGTATCCGAGACCTTGCGATGACCCCAAAGCAGCTACTAGAAACTCTCAAAGCGTTGGATCAAGATCATGCTTGGAAGGCGGTTGCAGTCAACACCGAATCGCTTGTCAAGAACGCCGAACATGAGCTAGCATCGGGCAAGTTCAGCCCAAAGGCATTCGCAGCATTTGCAATGAGAGCGACCTTTGCTCCAGAGCATGCACAGGATTATAGTCGGGACAACGAGCTCTTGGGTATAATTCACATGACGAAGGAAGATATTCAAGGGGTCTTGGCTGCAAGACTGTGCTGATCTCGCATCTCTGGGCTCTGGAAAATTCTAGATATCTTAGTTAGAATTGACATCTTGAGACGCGAAATTTCCATGACCGCAAAGAGGCTCACTTGATACTCTAGGTATGACTAAAATACAATTGGCCGTCTGCATTGGTGAAATCGCACATATCGTCCATCTCCAAGAGGGGCCCTATCATCTCGTCTGCATTATACATCGCTGTGTCGAATTCTCGCTCAGCGCTACGGGGCATAGAAACTGCACCCGACTGAGCATTGTCGCTTTGAACAAGATTCGTGCTGGCATGTGGTCTTGCAATGCCCTTGGACGAGAACCGACCTTCCAATATCGGACGTTTCGCAGCAGAGGATGCCGACGATGAGCGCCGATCTGATAAAAACGATTTCCGGCGACCCAACTCCTTCTTTCTCCGTCTTCTCGCCTTGTCAATACTCCTCATTACTGAGCGCCACTGGTGTACCCGACTATGCCTCGTCGATGAGTCCCAACGAAGAACAGCACTTTGCTCCACAACTCGCCATGCCTTGTCGGCATCCCTACCCAAAGGCTGGTTGCACAGCTCTGAAAGAACAACCGCAAAAGCGTGCCACTCATTGTAGCACTTTGTAAGCCATGACCACTGCGCTACTTGCGGATCAGTTCGGAGACGGTATGAATGCGCCATACAGTCGATGGCGTTCTGGAAAGCGCGTCTCTTTTGCTCGTCGGTGAGGGAAACACCAGATGATAATGGGTTGAGGACCATAAGGCGTAGATTTGCGACAATGGTGCCGACAAAGGAGGTTGTAAGCTTGAGCAAATGCGACGTCAGAGTTTGGATGTCATGTCTGAAGTTTGGATGCCTTAGTTGTGTGCAACTTACACAGTGTAAAGAGCCATGAGATGGTTGACTCTTGGATATCTTGCTGGCGATATTTTCTCGCTGTCTCTCAACCCAGGCCTCCCTGTCGGCTATCGTCATTGAGACAAAGTTCATTCCGGATGTTGGGTCGATTCTCCGAGTGTCAATTATCGTACGCCAGATATCTGATGCCCAGCAACGGGCAGCAGTGAAGGACATGGTCGTGATTCCCTTAGACTCGGAGGGGTACTCTGTCATACCCGGGTATAGGTCCTCATCATTCACATTGATTGGGGGTCTTGAATCGAAGCTACTCAACTCTAGACTAATGACAAACGTGATTAGTCTCGATGCAATCGTTTAATGGGTATGAACAACTTACAGGCCAGATGAACACGAGTAGTCTTCGGACGCTGGCGTATCTAGAATGCAGATATTCCACCACAATCGTCGACGCATCTCAGCTTCGAAAGGGGGGAGATCGAACGTGCTCCCATCTCGATGCATGCCTAGGGACTGAGCAAGCCGCACAGCTAGTCCTGTCATGCTCCATGAATACGTAGGGTCTCTGCACCGTAACGTAATGAGGTAAACCACAAAAGCTTGCAGTGTGAGCATGTCATCCGTTACCATCAACCTCGCACGAGCAAACGCAGCGTCAGCACCTCGCCTAAATTTCCCCAACAAATCACATTGAGCTGATCCGAAACGCGCCTCGCATTCATCATCGGATAGACTGTTTACTGCACCAACATAGATGACAAACAAGAGGGCTTCCAAGGGGGCTGTAAGATTTTGTGGGTTTTGCATTGCTTCGAGGACGGCCAGTTCAACCGAGGGTATGTGCAGGACGGTAGCGACAGGGTGTACGTTGGTGTTGTACAGCTGCCATGCTTCTAGTCTCTGATCGCGAGGAGGATGCAGGGAGTAAGTGTCGGTTTCTTGGGTGCCGCCAGTAGATAGCAAGGAATACTGCAAAAGCTCTGACCGAGACGATGATGTCTGCTCTTCGAACTCGGAATCGTCCTCGCTGATCACGCCATCTTCCAGGTCATTCTATCGATAAACAATCAGCATATCACGAGAGAATCACTAACTGCCTTCTCTAAGGTAGATTGGCGTACCTCGGTATGCAAAGCTTCCCAAAATGTTCCACTGACGTATCTTTCACGACCGTCGTCCCTAACGAGCTTCCCCGTCGAGGTCCCGTATGGTGACCAAGAGTTGACCGAATCGCCTTGAGCACTGTCACAGTCAATGTTGGGAATCTCGATGTTCGATGCGTCACCGTCTGTGGAATCAAGAATCCCCGCCGGAGATTTCGGGCCGAGAGAGATCGCGGCCTGTTCCACCTGCATAGTGCTGAAATTGATCGCGACGCTCTCTTTCCTTGTATCTCTACATGCGCTTGTCGACGAGCCGATTGAATTCGGGGGGGTTGGTGGTGAAGGTGAGGCAGAATCATTATTGAATTCTGGTAGTTGCCTTTGAGGGAGTGTTGATATTGACTCTGGACGGGAGCTTGACCCTACGATCGGGGCAGAGGATCCTGGAATATTGCCTTGTTGCATACATTCTGCCAAGGTCTTGAACATCGGCTCCAGACGGTGAAGCTGCTCCCACAGCTGATTGTCAGTGAGAAACTGCCGCGCAGCCGAGCTTCCTTCAGGCGGATAGACACAGTCTGTTCCAGACTTCTCGCAGTGATGACACGGTTGTTTCTTGTCGCAACCGACCTTCCGGCGACGGCATGCTGTGCAGACGCGGCGTGGGAGGGGCTGGTTTCGAGATGTCTTGCTTTGTTGGTTGGATTGAAGAGGCTGCTGCTGCTGCTGTTGTTGCTGTCCTTGCTGGTGCCGGTCTGCTGTGTTGGAGGGATTCCATGCAGCGACAATGGAGTCCGCAATTGCTTGATTGCCGGGCGAGGCTTGCGATCGAGCCTTCGCCGGGGTTTCAAGCACTCCAGGCCCCATAATCTTACACAAGCGGACTCTACGGTCTGAACACCCGAGAGGCCGAAAAGATAAGCCGAGTTTTTGCGTCGTCCTTGGATCTATAAGGACAATACGCCTAACGTGAACGTCGCTTGCTCATGAGTTGTTTATATCGTGAAGATGAGTTGCTTCATGTGTACCGCGTTGCATCACGCGTGATTGCGGACAGAATGAGGATTCCGAAGGAAACACTTGCTTTGCAAAACAAGCAGAAGATAACGAACGCTGGAGTGATAAATTACATGGAGATAAGGTGATGGAAAAGGGAGGGATCACGAGGGAGATTCATCACTACCAAGCCATGTTGGGACGAGGCGCACGGAGGGAACATGGTGTAGGCCGAGAGATAAGGCCTAGACAGGGGGGGCGAAGTGCGGGGAGAAGCACCTACACACGAATCACGATGGACACAATTACCAACCCAAGACGTGTTTGTAAGAGCGCAGCAGCTGAAGCGGCACTGCGTTACCTTTTCTCTACCTTTCTTGTTCACGGCACATGGGACCGTGGCATAGATCAACGCCATGGCGGACTAGGGGTCTTAGATGATAAAGTGTTTGGCGGGGAACCCGTCCGGCAGTCCACTCCTGCGCACTACGTTGGCCCCTGATGATAGCGCTGTGGGGTTGTAGCCGTGTTTGGGAATGTGGATATGATTAGCAGAGAAGTCAACCGCAGTAGTAGCTCGGCCGATCCCTCCGGTCCAGCTCTCCGTTCTAACCCCAGTGGGCGTTTCGGAGAGCGAAGTATTCCAGAACGAACATGAACTTGAACCCACGTCAGCATATTCTGTATAAGTTGAGGTGGTCTCTGAATCGATCAATCAATATTGCTCCATGTTAAGCTAGAGAGATATTTACACAGGCGACAACATGGCAGCAATGGAGACATCATCAAACCAGCAGATAGGAAACTCGGAGTGGCTCATTCACGTCCCAGACTTCCCGGAGGCCAAAGACCGAAGGGCTGCGGTGTTCCCGTATGTCTCAGCCCAGACTCAGAGGGCAGATTATGAATTGACATCCCGACGCGAAACAGACATCACATTGAGCGGATGAAAACAGATCCTCAAGGCTTTTGGGTGTTTGGAGGTGGGATATTCGCTGCCCCGTGGCCGTCGTTCATCAATGCCGTCCAAATCCATGTTTAGCTAACATTTGGTCAACGCAGGAGCCACTTTGGCGGAGCCCGTGGGCCCCGGGCAAACCCCGCACATCACGGGCAGTGCCATGCTTGTCTTTGCGCCCACACGGGAAGGGATTTTAGCGCGACTCATGGATGATCCGTTGGTCAAGGAGAAGATCTGGGATATCGAAAAGGCTCAGATTCATCCATTCTTGCGTCCGAAAAGAACTCCCCTCTGAGACATCTAGTTATTACTATCCAGTCTGGTTGGTTCAAGAGGGAGATATTGCGTGTGCTCAAAACCGCGTACGAGCGAGACAAGTTGGCAATGAATTATCCAATCATCAGTAACAATGGGTTGTGACGAAATGAACACCAAATCCTTAGAACAAGAGCCTCAGAAACTCGCAGTCCCTTAACATAGACGATTGCATATGTTGAACCCTGTTTGCCTGACTTTTCCCTCATGTCTAGTACTCAATTTCAAGTGATGTTAACGCCCCGCAAGATGATCAACCCAAACTCGTCGCCAGAATTCCCCGAGAAGCTTTGCGCTCTCGGAATCTCCCGCTGGAAGCAACTGGCTCACATAGACAGCCCCAAGCCCACTTTCTCGGTTAAGGAACCACCCAATATTTGGCATCCCGTTCCATGTCAGACATTTTGCGGGGAGGTTAGGCGTATCCTCTTTGATTACCATACCACCCAGTCCGAATGCTACTCCGGGGCATCCCGTGTCGTCCCCCGTCAGTTGTTTATGCAAAGCCTATCGGTCCTTCGTGTTAGAGTTTGGGGCGCTTAGCTTGGCTGCTACGCCATGGGGTGGGGAGCTAGGCATACCTCTTGTTTGATCAACCCTTCGTATTGACTGGTGCCTTGATGAAACTGAGGAGTGAACATTTCTGTCACGAAGTCGGCTCTCAGAAGCACTGGACTGTCCTTGAGTAGGTCTGTCAAGACTTTGACGAAGTCTGACGTAGTAGTGATGAGTCCCATCCCACCGGAGGTCTCCTGTGCATCTTCCGGGTAAGGTGAAGGGATGGGGGCCAGCTTTCCCTCACCGGCTCGTACAAACATTTGAGCTAGTAGTTTCTGCGTATCCGGTCTTTCTGTTATGTGAAGTGTTGTGTTCGTAAGACCAAGAGGTCTGAACACATGCTCTTCCATGTAAGTTGCCAGCTTCATATTGCTCAACCTCTCCACAAGCACCCCAGCCCAGTCCAAACTAGCACCATAGACCCAGCTAGTTCCAGGCTCAAACAAAAGAGGAAGTGAAAAAGCTTCGATGGTTCTCCCGCTCATCACTAGGGGCTGTTCGCCTCTTGATTTTCGCCATGCTACGAGCAGTGGATGCATGGCGTCATAAGATATGCCGCTGGTGTGGGTCAGCAAATGCCTAACCGTTATTTTGTTCTTGGCTCTTTCGAGCCTGAAGGATGTAGTAGAGTCCGACAATATGATTTCGGGGTCCTTAAGCTCGGGCAGTATCGTTTCAACCTCGTCATCGAGACCTATCATTTTCTTCTCGACGCATTGCAGCACGGAGATTGTTGTAATCAGCTTTGTGCAAGAGAATCCGCGAAAAGCATCATTAAGAGTGATTTGCTCTTTGACATCTGCCCTCTTGATCCCATGGCATTGGCTGTAGAGAATCTCTGTATCGTCTATTAATGAGAAGTCCCTCAGTCTTTCTTAGTGGCGGGGTCAACTCGCCATGTTTGTTGAATGCAGCCAGAGCAACACCGGGAAGACTCGGTGAGTCTCCTTTTGTCAAAGATACTAGGCTTTCCTCGCAACTGAGCTTCATCTTCAAGTGATCAATAGTTTGCACTGCCGAGAAAAGAGTTGATGGTGTACAGAGATTCAATCGCAGTAGGCTGATTGTCTGAAGGACTGCTGGGTCGATCATTCGTCGAACGTGCTCTAGAAGACTACTTTTTCATAAGCCTGTGACTGATTTTGACGGTCACATATTTGCTCTCTTTGCATCTCTGAGAGTCTTAATGTGGTGTCCTGACTTCAAGTGGGGCTGGAAGTCAAAAGCTTTACCCGGCGACTTCGGCCGACTACCTCAGCTACCACTTCAATCTGACTTCTCTGGGCGCTGCCTAAGTACCCAATGGCAGGCCTTGAATCGTTTTCGGCCGGGTCTCCGGGTCCTGGTTTCCTCTAAGCCAAGTTGGCATCTACTTCTCATCTTCAGTCCGAAGCCCTTCTTTCCTGTTGACGCACGAATGCCTACCATCTTCGCCCGACAACATGCCAGACAACATCGAAACGTCTTCAAAGCAACAGTCGACTACCGACGGACAGTCGACAACTGCTTCTGCTGCTCCTCCCAAACAACCAAGTAATGCAGGGAGAAAACGGCGTTCGTGTCTTTTGTGTAGCAAACGGAAGGTCAAGTGCGACAAGCAGAAGCCATGTCGGAATTGCGTCAAGTACGGGGGTGAATGCGTATTCCCTGCCGCTAAGACAAGCCAGACACAGATGGTTATGACACCTGAGCTAGTGGAAATGCTTCAAAGACTAGAGAAAGTTGTTCAAACTTTGGAGCCGAAAGATGGAGACAGGCAGGATCCCGTAGATCCTCAGCAAGCCCACAAACACAATGATGAAGGTGACCGAGAACGACCTCAGTCTCCGATTCCTTCGCCTTTGGCTGAAGACCTCGGCGCTACGGACTTGGGATCTTTCGGTCCGACGATTGGCCCAGGAGTCCAAATAGGTCGTTCAAACCCACCCAGTGCCGAGTTGCAAAGTGTAACATCAAGCCATGGTGGCAGTGATGGCAGGATTGTTCGCGATGCCGGGAGGGACACCTATGTAAGACGATGGTTTTGGGAGGATTGTAAAAGTGAAGTCAGATAATGCACAACATCAAACCGTATCCTCGGCTAATGATAAGTAGATCAGCAGCGGCTCTGCGACAGACGAAGATCGCTCAGACGACGATGACTTCGAAGATACCGCTTCTAATCCTTTCGCCAATTGGTGCTCGAAGAAACCGGAAAGTTTGAGTTTCGATAACGAAACTACGAGCTCAAAGAGAAGGATTCTTTCTATAATTGGCGATCAAAAACTGCACTTGTGGGGCATTTACAAAGAAAGAGTTGAGCCGCTGACCAAGTTGCTCCATTTGCCGTCGCTGGAGCAGGCAGTGACCGGGCATCGCTTGGTGGACTTCGAAGACGGCACCCGTTGTATCATGCTGTCAATCTACTACGGCGCGGTAACAAGTCTGGGCGAAGAAGAGTGCGGCCAGCTCTTTCAAAGCAGACAAGCCCTGGTCCTGTCCGTCCTGCGGGACGAGGTAGAAGCAATGCTTTCGAAGGCCATGCTGATCCACACCGGGGATATCCAACCGTTGCAGGCATTAGTATTGTACCTCATTTTCCTGCGACATCATGAACCTCGGCTCTCCTGGAACCTTTCGGGGTTGGCCGTTAGACTTGCTCAGAATTTCGGCATTCATAGGGAAGGCAGTCTGTTCGGACTCTCAACATTCGACATCGAAATGCGACGCCGCCTTTGGTGGCAAATTGCAGTTCTGGACGCTCCATCGGCGGAGGACTATTCGGGTGAATACAATTTGTAATACTTAAGACTTTCGCAGGCGCCCAGTAGAATAATTCGTTGACTTCTCCACAGACTCGAGATGAGTAGTTTCGATAGCCAGCCACCGCGGAATCTCAACGACATCCAGCTGTATCCGGCAATGCTCGAGTATCCATCCGAAACTAGAGGCATCACGGAGATGACGTTTACATTAGCCCGATGCCAAATCACGAGCATGTACCGTTGCATGGCGGACTCGAGAAGGCACTGTGAAAATATGAGCAAGAGCTATGCCGAAATGTCACAGCAAGAGCGCAACGATTGGATCGACTTTTGTGAGCAAGAGTTTTCTCAAAAGTTCCTTCAGAATTACTCGGCGACAAACGCTCTGCATTGGGTAAGTTTTCGGTTGTTCACGTCTGCCACCGCTTAGTATGAGCGTGAAGCTGAAGCACTTAGTGTTGACCAAACCCATCACAGGTAACCATGGTCCTGACAAGGATGCTATTTCACAAAGTTAGGCTGCATGGCATCAACCCACATGTGGACTCGAAAGATATAACAGAGCCAACCCGCAAGCGATTATTCGCCGTCGCTGTAGAAGTCATAGAACTCAACTGCAAACTTCGGACTGATCCCCGAACGCGTCCTTGGCTTTGGCTTTTCAGCTCCTACACTCAGTGGCATGCATTCTCTCTGGTCCTTCACTGGCTTCGAACGGACCCTCTTTGCAAGGGATCCCGGCGAGCATGGCAGGCAATTGAAAAAGCCACCGTGTTGAGGTGGGAGCATCCTCCCTCATTGTTGAGCGGTCAAAAGCCGCAACAATGGCGGTCTGTTCTTAGACAGCTGGGAAAGGCAAGATCTGCCCGACAAGAGGCTTTGGATAGAAGAGGAAGAAGGGGCTCACGTACGGCTTCAGAAAAGACTGGGCAACCCTCGGCATTTTCACTAGCATCGACAACATCTCATGCTCCATCCTCTTCAGGCAGTTCGCTTCCGAAGCCTTCCCATTCCTATGATTCCTTGCTCTCAAGCAGCTCCCGGCATCAACACCAAGTTCAGACCCCGGAGGTGGTCCGAACAAATGCTCCGGGTCCTTTAACACCTCCCATCACCACTACGGACGTCTCCCTGCAACGGGATCTGAGAACGCCAGAACAAGGAAATTCACAGAACACACACAGCGTCAACGGCTATCAGTTTGACGAGATTGGTGGTGTGTTGCCGCACCCGGACCTGATGATGATCGATGAAACGACGTTCTCGGCCGAAGAATTTCAGGATCTTCAGGGCTTTTCTTTTCTTGAAAACTATTCTCTGGATTAATTAGAACCGAGAATAATTTTGTCAGGCTGAGTGTGACCTGCACCTCGTGCTGCCAATCACAATGACTTAATGAACACCATCACGTACTAGGCTCTAATGATGCACGTATCTTGAGTTGCCACTTGCTTCATATGAACCAAAATCAAGTATCGAAAGATAAAGTGTGCTGTTTCTAAACCAAGTAGTTCTCATGCTCTCGAGTGCACAACATTTAACCAGCGGAAACCCCATTCGGCTGTTCCGATCCATTCTCTAACATGTTCACCTTTTTGTGAATCGCGCTGTTTCCTTCTAGCCCTGCGTGCGTAGCCTCATCCATTCCCGGGATAATCATCTCAAAAGTTTCTCGCACGACCGTATACTGAAAGTAGCCGCAGCGAGCAATGGGCTGTGTCTTGCCGACGTCGAGCTTGCCATCGGTCAAGACATCATCTCGGATATGTACTCCGATGACTCTCCCAATGACGACATCGACAGTTCCCATGGGAGGGTTTGCGGGTAGCCTGAGAGTGGTATGATATACACATTCAAACTTGACCGGACTATCCTTGACCATGGGCACAGGATGTCCTGGCAGCGCGCGACTGTATTCCTTTTGCAAACCTGCGCGGTCGAACTCGTCCACTCCGTAGTCAACCTGCTCAGCCGAGATGTTTACAGCTTCACGCAAGGGCCAAGTAGCTAGGTTCCAGCAGAACTTGCCGGTCAGCTCCGCGTTGAGAACCGTATCCTTTCTTTGCTGGTCCGGTTTTTGATTGGCCGAGAACATAACATAGGGTGGATCGAATGTGAGGTTATTGAATTGAGAATAGGGTGCCAGGTTGTGCGTCTTCGGATCCGTTGCTGAGATGGTCGATATCCAGCCAATTGGCCGAGGAACAACGCATGCCTTGAACGGATCATGGGCAAGGTTGTGAGGTATTCCTCCCGGCTGACTGCCCGGCTCAAAGTACATGATGATGGAACTCGAGAAGATACCGTATGCTTTTTGGGTTGAGATATGTTTGAATTTAGATGAGAAATCGATTTCCTTGACGGCGAGGTCAAGTAGCTCACATCAAAAGAGCTGAGAGTATCAATCAGTGGCTCTACAGACTATCATGTCTGTATTTACGTTCAGAAAAGAAAACCCTCGCAACGTACGGCAAATAGAATGCTTAGACACACAATTCTCAACAACCAGAGTTGCTGCCCGTGTAAGGGTGTGAGGGGGGTAGCGTCGGGCCCATGTCCACCGAGCCGGGCCAGAGCGGACATGAGCCAGGCAAGTGGAAAACACGGCCGATGAGATTGAACTTTGCATCCGCAAACACGGAGCTCGGGTTTTCCCCCGTTGTCAAGCAAACCAAACCACGCATTTGACATTCGTGCGTTATGTGCAAGCTTTGGGCATCTGAAATGAAATGGAGTTACCTTGGTGATGCGAAGAATGCATATAACGTCACGACATCTTCAATTCTTCTGCTGAACTTTCAACGTGCGGCCAAACGTGTAAGAAAACTAACTGTTGAGGCACACAAATATCATACAACCTTTTCTCAATCCCGACACTTCTTCCAAGCTCTTTCACCATGGATGTAGATGATGATGTCGAGCTCGGTCCCGGGCGCGATATTCCAACGGACGGAATTCCAGTCAACTTCGTCCCTGCCAAAGCCGGGGACGTCATCAAGCTAGGACTCATCACTTGCCGCGTCTTGGAAGATGGATCCCGCACAGGTGAGCTACCACTGAATGATATCCGCAGTTATACTCGCAATAAGGGTGTAAATTTGGTTTCATGAAGTGAGAGCTAACCGTATCTGTGCTTGCAGACAATCGTATCGGGGCCGCCGAGTTCACTCTCCCTCCCGGCTTGAAAGGACCTCCAGCCCATTGGCACGAGATGCATGACGAGACATTTTTGACGACCAAAGGCACCATTCGATACCACATCCCAAAGCCTGATGGCACCGAGGACACCATCGACGCGAAAGAAGGCGACCATGTTACGGTCCCTGTTCGGGCACCGCATACGTTCAGCAACCCGACTGACGAGGAGGCCAAGTTTTTCAACACATACACTCCGGCATACTACATCAATTACTTCAAGCTGTTGGGAACATACGTACAAGAGGGGAAGCCAATCTCGCCGAAGGAGCATTTGGATGCGATGTCGAACTACGCAACTCTTCCTGTGCCGAAGAAATACTCCCAGAAAAAATAACAGATTTAGGGGACCGCATTTGTGATGCTGTATACACATTCCAGGAATCTGGATTGTTGTACTTAGTAAACCCCGCAGGCTCTGATCACACAAGAACCTTGGTAATTGAAACTATCACTACCATGGTATAACCATACGTTCCTGGTTTGCCACATTCCACACAGACCTGTTGACTTGCGAGTGACTTAATATGCCTACATTTCACACTGAGATCCTTCCTTTTTCCACAGTGTTGGCCGTCATGTTCCACCTCAAAATCCCGGTGAAGAGGGGTTGGGCAGGGTGGTCGTAATATTTCGGCCGGCGCGCAGTATGACGCCGGGACTGTTTTCCGGACCCCTCATTGTCTATGCATTTACCGAGCTCCCATCACACCCCGGGGGTGTCGTCATGTGTTCGAAGCTGCCAAGCTGGGCCTGGGATAGTGTCAAGATTGACAAGACGCAGCAAGCCATTGGGACTGGGCTATCTAACGATAACGAAATGATACCTTTGGATACGTCTTCGCATTTATATGATGTTCCCACCTCACGTCTGATTCTAGCGTGACGATGACTTGATACTCATTGTAACTCGTATCATACATTGAAGTGAACTTGGAAAATCGAAGCTCGCCGCTACAAGGCCCCTAGATATCTCATCACCATCTACTCCACTCACTCTTTCCTATGCGATTCTCACAAACCTGGTAGACACCATGTTTATTGTCGCCTTACCAGCCATTCTCGTCGTGGTCACTCTGACCTTCGGTGTATTTTACGTACTCGTAGACTACATCCGTATCTTGCGGCTCAGACAACGAATGGCACCTGGGCCGTTCCCGCTACCGCTTTTTGGCAACATCTTCCACATCCCAAGCAGCAGACAGTGGAAGAAGTTTGAAGAATGGTCGCTGAAGTATCAATCTCCCATCATTACAATCTGGGATGGACACACCCCGGTCGTCATTTGTAACGATGCTTGGTCTATGTCTGACCTCTGCGACAAGCGGGCAAACATCTTCTCATCTAGGCCTGTAAAGACACTTACCGGAAAGGTCTTTGGCCTCAACAAGTTCAATCAAGCGGGACTTGCATATGGTGAGCAGTGGCGTGTACACCGTCGCTTGACTGTAAGTCGTATCCCTGTTCAGAGTGGTTCTAACAAAGCCTTCCTTCCGCTCGTAATCCTAGCTGCTGACATGGACAAATCGTGCTCCGTAGCACTCTGCTGCCAACGCCCAGGTGGTCCAGGCATATCGTACTTCCCAAGCCAATGAAGCGAAGATATTGATTGAAGACTGTCTGACGAAACCCGATCGATTCGTTGACAGTGCCTTACGCTTTACCGTATCGATTGTATCCATTATTGCCTGGGGCAGACGCATCGGGACTGAATCAGACACAGTCTTGAAGGTAGCTCAAGCATATGTCGGTAGCGCCAACCTCGGCTTCCCAGGAAAGACATACACCGAGGCCATACCTGCTCTTGCTGATATGCCGGCATGGCTGAATCCGCTGCCAAACCAACTCAGGAAGCTAGCCCAAACGTCGAACAAGTACTTTTACGCACTTTCCGACGAGGGATCTAACGCGGTACAAGACAACTTCGCCAAGAGACTACTGAAAGAGAAGGAGGAACATGGCCTCAGCAAAGTCGAAATTTCCAACCTCACAGGCAACTTCATCGGCGCCGGGGTTGACACTACCACTAGCACCATGCTGACTTTTGTTCTGGCTATGTGTTTGAATCAAGACGTTCAAAGCAAGGCGCACGAGGAAATCGATCGCATCGTCGGCCGCGATCGTTATCCCGACTGGTCCGACGAAGACAGTCTCCCGTATTTGGCGGCAGTCATCAACGAAACACTCAGATGGCGGCCTGCATTTGCTCTTGGCGGGCCTCCCCATGCACCCACCGAAGATGAAATCTACAACGGCTTCTTCTTTCCGAGGGGAACATCGATCATCGGAAATCTCTACGCCATGCACCGAAACCCGCGGGAATTCCCCCAACCGCATCGATTCTGGCCGGAACGTTTTATGGAAAGTTTTGATGGGCCAGCATATCCTAACAAACGTGGACACAATACCTTTGGATGGGGACGTCGAGTCTGCAGCGGTGAAGCATTGGCCCAACAAAGCTTGTACTTCACCATTGTCTCTCTTCTCTGGGCTTTCGAGATCCGTCCGGGTGTAGACGAAAAGGTGGGCTAGTGCCAAGCTGAGTTTTGTCTTCATCAGGAGCTAATGACTTTTAAACTAGGGCAACGAAGTCGTTTTGGACCCAGATGCGTACACTGTGTCTCAGGTCAACCGTCCACTGCCTTTCAAAGTTCGCTTTCTGGCTCGATCCGAGACGATTGCAACTTTGGTGAGAACTGGTGCGCAAGAGGCGCGCACGCAACTGCGAGCGTATGACGCAATTACCAACGTCACGTTTGAGAGTGCGCAGTCTGTCTCCCTTGACATGCCCATCGCGCAGGCAGAGAGGGGTTCAATCGTTTAGTCCTGACGTCTGGATCGTTCAGTAGAATGTCGAATGATCTGAGACTGAGCCGACTCGGTGAAGTATACACAGGTGTCCAGACGCGTTTGAGATGAGGCAACTGCAGACATTTTGGGTTTGATTGCATTTGGAGACGGTCATATGTTCCATTGTAGTGACTGTAGCAAGTACTTTATCTACTTCCGTCAGGTCTGCTGACGGACGCTTCTCATTCCACGCCTTGTCTACAACTAGGGCTCGAACGTGAGAAATTCCAGTCAGAACTTTTGAACTTTGACAACTTGCAACTCATATAGGTACGGTCATCCATATCACACCATTGACAACCACTTCCGTGACTTCGAGTGAGCGACGCGAAGACACATCAGACGAGTAGACATAAGATAGTATCCACCAAGTACTAGAACACTCAGACAGATACAAAATGAGATTAGAACCCAGATGTATGGCGAAATCATAGCTTCCTTTTCTTTGGGAAACCAATTGAAGAAGTCCGTAGAGAAAATTGTCTGATTTGAGAGTTATCACGTTAGAATACTTTGCCGCGATGATCAGATTTCCAATTTCCGTACTTAAGACGTATCAAGAAAGATACCAGACAAGCAGTGGCAAGGATCTGACTTACTGCAACAAACATGCTAGGTAGAAATACCATGGAGAAAATGGAAATATTCTGCATTCGCTTCCCATCTCGTTTGGATTCCAGGGCAATTTGCATGTTGGTCCTTGCATGAGACTGTACACGAGTTAGTGGGATATTATGACGAGAGTGTGTATGATTGAGCTGAGTATAAATAAACTCACGAGCTGAGTCGCCATCGACATTCCGTCTAATCTCATAGTACAGTCTCTTATAGTGTCCTCATACTCGTTTATTATCGACCTCAGTCGGTTTCTGATCATAGAATTCACTTTTGCTTGCTTCCGCTTTAGATCTGCTTTGGTATCGGCACAAGCAAATGCCGAACGTCCATCCATGACGTTTGATGTTGAGTAACTCTCGGCCATTCCTTCGATATGAAGTAGCATCTCTTCCACCTGTGTCTTCCAGTTGAACAGGCCATTTCGGAGCTCCGTGGTGTTAAGCCAAAGGTCAATGATTGGCTGGGTAGCAGCCTGGTCACTTTCGCTTCCCTCATCGGAACCCAAGTAGTATGTAGCCTTTTCCAGCTCGCCTTGAGTATCCTCAACGAGCCGCTTTAGCTGTCTCTCTCTCTCTAGCTCAGTGAAGATTCCCGGAAGTAGGAATGGGTGTGACAAGGCGCTGGATGAGCAGTAGAGTCTGTCAATAATCTCATCCTCTATTTCAGCAGTGGTGCCGAAGACGATAGCGTTCGTCGAACCTGTCTTTGATAGGTGTGTTACCGAAAGAGCTAAGTCGCCATCCCATGCCATGGAGGTCCTGCTGTGATAAACTTCAAGGGCTTAGAATATGACGGTCTGTTGTCTACTAAGACTAGTAGACTTTGGTGTGAACCCACCGATAGCTGGCTCTTCAAGCTCACCCATAGCCACATCTCCCGAACAAAAGCTTGCCACATCTCCACGGCTGATGGTCCGAGAGATGCCACTATGAATCATCAGCTTGCTACAGATATATCTGAAGGTCTCGCGTGAAAAAGAAAGAGAGCGGATGGTTCTGGGTTGGTAAGCTGACGGGCTAGTCTTGGCTCGTCTTGCAAATCTGCAACAGATAATATCAGCCTTTCGTAATGCCAGTCTCTTCAAACCCCAGTTCAAATATACTCATTGACAAAAAGCTTACACGACAGTGATCTTGGGCTTATAACTCTGGCCAAGGTCTCTGTGGTTCTTTTCACCGACTTTTATTAGTCTGAGAGCAACCAGCTATGGGTTGAGGCTGACAAACGGCCACAAACCTCATGAAACCATTCCTTCCAACCTTCATCATTCACCTTCCACTGTTCGGGCTCCTGCAATAATGTGAGCTTTTGTTAAGTATTGATCAATGACTTACCTTACCCCATCTTCGTCGTCTAATTGGACAACTTTGACAGATCTCGGCTCATATTCAAAAACGTTGGCGAGATCGGTCTCACTATTACTCAGCAATGACCCATCGAGGAGCCAGTCCATGCTTCAATTGATCAGGTAGGTGATATTTGTGATGGTAGGTTATGCATGTGGTTAATTTCCGTTTCATTCAATGAATGATGGACAAGCGTTGGATCATCCTGAGGGTGGAAATGGCTGCATTCTTTCTTGAGACTGGCAACAACACGGTACTTCAATCCGGCAGTCACTGGTCTCAACAGCCCTAATGACATTGGAGAACTGCCTCAACCCTTTGCCAACATCCGAATTTCTCCGTATTCCTGGAATGAAAGCTTCAACAAAAACGAGCCTCTGTGAAGAGTGAAACGAGGCATCTCGAAACAGCCCAACCACTCCAAAGGAGCCCGAACTCCGCCCAAGGCGCTCTTCGGTATGCAAAGGAGGGGTCGAGATTCCGAAGTATCCACCCTTCCTGCAGGTCAAAAGCTCCGTTACTAATCTTCTCATGATAGAAAGCAGCTAATCAGTATAACGCAGGAAGCAATGCTACCCTGGCGTGCCAAGATAGATGCTACGCCTGGTTGGAAGTACTGCAAATGAAGAGGTAGGCTTCGCTGCGGGCTGACAGCAGTATGCGATGATGTCGACGACTTCAAGATGTCTCCAATGATCGATTCACGTCGCCCTCCAAACCGATACTTGTCGGCATGTCGATGGCGAGATGTAACGCGTCTGTGCCTAACACTGCCTTTGCCTAGAGTCTCGCTCGCCTCATTCGGGTAGCCTGACGAGCGTGGTTCCCCGCCGTGTGGCTAACACGAGGCATAATCTGATTCGTTATGAACCCTGCCCCGGAAGAGGACTCCGACAGGTAGGCCATACAAAACCGTCAGTATGCAGCCCGTCATGCGTTCCGGCGATCAACTCAACCTTTTGGAGTTGTTCACCAAGCAATCATGACGAAGGAATTTGTTAGTGGTCGATATTGCGATGAGACAATGCTCCATCAGAAGCTCAGACAGTTGTTCCCGAACGCTTCGGGAGATGATATTGGAGTTCGAGTAAGACAATTCAAACTGTGCTCTCCTTCTTTGTGCTTTTTGTGTGCTAAAATCGAATCACCCAGTTCTCGCGAGGGAAATGGAACCTTGACCTGCCGCGGTCCCTCACACCAGTAAGCGACGAGAAGAACTATTGATGCATTCGAGTTTCAACATGGCTGATTTTTTGGCACTTGAAGGAAGAGCGGAATCTCTTCAGGTCTTCTTCTGGACCTGGCCACTATGCAAGCATCAGGCAGGTCTCACGCGAGACGAGAAGGGCATGAGTGACAAGGGAAACTTTTCCGGGTATATTTTGAGCAGGACATGTGTTTGGAGTCGTGTGGTAACCTTGTTCCTGGATCTCAGACCTATCTTCAGGTCGATGGTTTTCGTAGTCGCTCAATATACTCTCTCTGTTGGAGGTTGTAGAAGTTGATCCCCATGTCCCACCCTCGCCCTTGGCGGCTCTTCTGTGCGGCCTTGATGAGTGCGAAGCCTCGGATGGCTTTTTCTAATGGTATCCAGCGCATTTTCGTTGAGCCTGATCTTGACAGCAGGTGACTCTTCACTGGATGGTGGTAGAGGCCAAGGCACAGGCTCGACACAGTAAGCTTTGCTTTCCAGACATCGCCTTTGAATACGTCGCAGTTCTTCAAATACTTCCTTGCAAGTCGCTCGTTTCCTGACCGCTGACTCGACGATCAACATTCTGTTCTGAACGAACTTTAGAAGATCATGGGTGTACTGAGTACAATCCCGATGATTATGAAGCCCGTCAAACCACTACGATTCATCAGTCCGGGCTTCTGTCTGGTGACGGCTGTGGAACGATACATACTCGGGTCACATTTGGTTTTACCATGGCACCCATACTTCTCAAGGAGGTGTCGTCATCGGATGCAATACGCACAACTTGTACAATGTCGAAGTAAATATCGGACTTGAACTCCTGGCCCCATATCGATGATCTCGTCATTCGGTATTCGGCAAAATCTTCCGACAGCTCCCATCCACCCAACAGCCACGTAACGAACTCGACATAGACGCATCCCAGAGTTCAAATGTCCCAAGATCGTGAGATCATAGCACCCTCAATATCGCATTCCGGAGGCCGGTAAGTAGGCGTTCGCCCTATGCCAGAGTTGTTGGGAATGTTAGATCGACTTCTCTTGCTGTTAAAAACGCCCAGTCCGAAGTCCGATATCACGAGCCTTCCAGGATCACCCATCGAACTTCGAAACCAGAGAATATTATCGGGCTTTATATCTCCATGGCGACCGTACTTCACAGCATTCTCAGTGTTGCCATCGACCTTTCCTGGGTACTCATGGATCCTGGCAAGGCCGGCAGCCATGCCAGCAGTCTGCCTCGCAACCCAACGGACGAGGTCTTCGCCCATGTCTGGTTCACTATGAATTTCCCAGTACTTGACCAAATCACACTCGGCCCAGGGGAAAAGAAAGTAAAAGAAACCTTTCTGACTCCAGGTTGTGAGCAGTGAAATCAAGTGTTCATGGGCGTTTTCGCTTTCAAATTTCCGCAACATCTGAAGTTCTCGCTGGAAGGCCGTCGTATCTGTGGATCGAAGTCTCTTCAGAGCAAAAAAGCACTAGGAGATTCGCGTTAGCCATTGATCAGCAAACCTGGCATGATTCCACCTCTAGTCCCGACTCTGCTCTTAAAGTAACTTGACTATTATCATAAAAAGTGGGTACTTACATCTGCCCCGTTTTGACTGAAGTCGTGATGGCGGGGATGCAACTTGACCTTAAATACTTCACTGAATCCACCAGTTGCTCCATCGTCGTTCGGGTCAGATTGGTATGTCAAGGGGAGTATGACTCGATCATCAAACTTTCGATATTGGGCCTCGCTTCCTTGAATGCCCTTGAGAAATGGAACCCTTAGCGTCCATTGCCAGTCATCGAAAGACCTCAGTGAATTATGTCTCCAACCTTGGAAACATCCCAAGGGTTTGTCGAGGTCTTTTCTTTTTCGCAAGTCAACCTTGTTTCTTTGGCCTAATTCGACTTTTTGAAGAGGCAGATCTGAATCACAAACTCCGGTTACAGGGTCTAGAAACTTTTCGATAGACTTTACTCTCTCAATCAGGCAAAGAATCGCAAAGACCTGTCGATAACACCTACCCCCTGGAGAGCTCTCGCATACCCTTTGAGCAATGCGGTTTATATCGGAGTCATCGTCCAAAGCCTCTGCAAGTTCTTGTTTCACCGCTTCAGGACCAACAAGTTCCTCCAAAAGGCCAGTCGGGAGGTATCCTTCCGTCACTTCAGGGTGAGGATGGGGCTGGTAATGGCTCCGAAGAAGCTCATCTAGTGGTACTCCAGTGTAAGCGCTGGGGGGACTTTGGGCCTGGTCTGTCGAGCGGATTGGTGGGTTTCGGTTCCCGACACTGGTCTGTTCGCTAGGTGCTGCTGGGCGTTCTTTTGGAACGTTATCGAGGCCCTGGTTCCCATGAATAGCGTCAAGCGCAGGGTTGTGCTCATCGCCCTGTGGTTCGTGTTAGGACATCGTGCAGCTTGAATGGCAGAAGAGGGCCCAATTTGCAACTGACAATAACAACTTTCGGAATGCTGCCACCTAGATGGAGGTAAGACAGATCTTCGCTCAATGTGCGAGGGTGGCGATTGGGGCTGGGGCCGCTGGGTATGTTCGGATGGTATTCCGGAGGCATTGTGGAGTGGTACGCTTCATTAGTAGCACCAAAGATGAAATGTGCAAGTATCAAGCTAGAAAGCCTCGAGCAGCAAGATCGTGTTTGTCGAACCGGAAACGATGTCTCATCCTAGTGGAAGAGAAGGGAGTTTTAATGGGCGAGTCTGGCAACTATGCTGCACAGCCAGCCTCACGAAGTAATGCCCCAGAGAGGAATGGTCGATTATCAGCTTTATGGCCTCCAAGTGGTGTAAGCAGCGATTACGATGCAGAATGGACGGGCTCTGACCAGGGCAGCGGCAGGCTGTGGACTGACGGGGTTTACATGCAGGCTGTAAGTCTGTACCTGCAAGGGAAAGAGAAAGTCGGTGTCAGAGGGGCCTGGAGACTCGGGGAAAAAGAAGGCTGCGCAAGTGCGCAGATGCGCGTGTACTGTACCCATAACCCGGAACTCATGGCATACCAATTGAATAAGAGAAGAAGCCGTAGAAAGGAGCAAGGGAACGATTTTTTGGCGCACCCTTGGAAGTCGCGATGTGTTAGGAACCGCTTCTTCAGAACGGAGCAGAGCTATGTTGACGTGGAAGTGGATTCACCCCCATCGCTGCAGTGGATGGGTGCGCGAAGGCATCCCCATAGGCCGAAGTGGATGCGACGACGAGGAACCCTGAGCCTACAGCTGACACTTGGGCTAGCTTGCTGTGCGGGAATTCCAATTCATGTTGATGGTGTGAGCAGAAAGTGGTCAACGAATTCATTCGACAGAAGCGTTCTGGAATGCAGCTTAACATGCAACCACACGAAGGGAGCAGGTGATTGGCTTTGATCAGGCAACCGCACCATAAACCTGCAGACATTGATGCAGTCTTGCAGCATGTTATGAGTGATCTGCTTGAGGTCAACCAATCATACCCTGGTAGGACTAAAACGCTGCAAGCCCTCCTCGGCCCTTAAGTGTAGGCGCATTCCACCGAGAATCAGACCCGGCCATCTTCCTCTTCGGCTCTCACCATCCGTTACCGACATTCTGGGGAAGAAAAAAAAAGACATAAGAGAAAACAACAGCAGCACACAATGGATAGCAGCTTCAATGTACGTCGGAATAAGCAGCAAGGATGCCAGAGGATATCTGGATCCTCCATCGCCCCGGAGAGACTCTCCCGTTATCTTAAAGAAGAATTCAATTCCCACCAGTTCGAGTTTGAGTCAAGAAAAAACTCTTACGTGATCCGGGCTCCGCGTGATCTCTCGCCAGTACGTGCGCCCTAAAGTTAAGGAACATGGAAGATCGCTAATGCAAAAACAGGATGAAATTCAAAGACTCCGGACAAGTCGCATGTAGGAATAGTAGAACCAGCGATGGAGCGAAAAAGTAACTATTTGCTGCTCGAGTTTTTCGGGCGAAACACGACGGCGTTGAGAATTCACAGCATAGCCACGGGGTTTGGGAAGGATTGCATTCGTTTGGCACATCAATGCTTTGACAATATCACATCATGAGGATTTGGAAAATCTTGGGACTTCAATTCTTGTATTGTGATTTACTAGACTCAATTAGAACACACTCGTTCACTGTCACCTCAGGCGTTCCCATGTCAGGATCACCTATCAGCAGGTGCTCTAAAAAGGGCGTCCAACCTGTCAGAAGCCTAGGAAGCCCCAACTTTACCAACCTGCGATCGCCGTGCATTGACTCGAACCTGAAAGTTTATAGGCTTCACGAACCAACAGTTCCTAGTAACCCAGGGAGCGTCCCTACAAATTTCAAAATCAAACTCGTGCAGTAATCTGGGCATCAATTTCGAAATTTCCAATATGGAGATGTGTCTTCCGATGCAGGTTCGTGATCCCAGGCCGAACTATCAGCTTGTCAGTGACAGCACTGGAACATGCAATCTCTAGCTCTTCTACAGGTGGCTTACCGGCATCCAGTGTCTGTTCATCGCTGACAAACGATCGGTATCCGTGATCAACCATCGATCCGGTCTAAAAGAGGCTGCATCTTCGCCAAAGATGGACGGGTGGTGGTGCTCAACCCAAGTGTTGATGCCCACGATGGTCTAATAATGATTAGTGAATGTCAATCAGTCTACAATGCTGACATGGTTTCAACATACCCCGGCTGGAAAGAATTTCCCTGCAATAGTGGCTCCTCCTTCGGGAACAACTCTCTCGAGGGGAAGCCCAGTCGCGGGATGCAATCTCAATGCCTCTTTGATGACTGCCTGGAGGTATGGCAGCTTCAGACTCTCCTGGAAGTTTAGTCGTCGAGGATCACCAGTTCTCTGGGAATAGAATTCGTCAATCTCTTTTTGCAGCTTGCTCATCTCTTTAGGATTCCGGAGAAGCTGATATAAAATGGCGCTGAGGCTGATGGCGGTCGTGTCTGAGCCTGCAACCATGTTTGATACACAACCCGCCAGAACATGGTACTGAGAGAAAGTTGATGAGTCCTCGGAGTGCTTTCCGAGAAATTTGGAGAGAAAGTCCATTGTGCCAGACTGTTCAGAGAGATGCGAAGTATCCTCAGCATCGACTGCTTTGGGCTTTGCCTGATGGTCTGCCAAGCAACCCTTGGTGAACTCGACGATGAATTGCCTGCCAGTACCCCGTTTACCTAGCCGACTCCTGATTGGTGCTAAGTAGGAGTGGAGGTATGAATATACTCCTACCATAGTCGCGTAGTAGAGGTGATTTTCGAGATTCTTGATCACCGCTCCGACATCGAGACCCCGATCCAGGAATCCAAGTCTCTTGGAATAGGTGATCATACCAACCACGTCAAATGCATAACACTGGAACCAATGACCCATGTCAACAGGCTCTACCGTCTTTCCTCTGCCACTCATCTCTGAGAGCCTTCTGGAGAACAAGTCCGCACACTCATCGACGTAGCTCTCGTAGTGCACCAAGGAGGACATGCTGTACATGCTTTGATAGAGACGTCGATTTTCGCTGTGGCGCTTCTCGTTTCGGTCTGAGAACAAAGACCATTGATGCGGGTTTGGATCGCCCCACGTGTCGTACCACGTAGACTTTGAAAATGCGTGGCCATGACCGTAGATCACCTTCGCTGCGTGTGGGTCATTGATACTGAATCTATTTGGACCATATCGGACAATTGAGCCTTGGAGGAGTTAGCTCATTTACACTGGATTCTTCCAAGTTGACAAAGTCTTCGAGACAAGACTGTGTTTCTGTCCAGTAGAACCCCTCCAACAAGACGACTTGCCATATTTTCGGTGCAGCTCAATGTTGTCAACCTCGAAGCGGCCCTGATGAATCCTCCATGCGTACCATAGGTCCGTGAACCGCGCAAAGAAGGGGCCGGGGACGGATGCGAGTGGGGCCGCGAAGCCGCGATAGATCTTTGCCAGGAGCTGCACTCCCACAAAGAGTGCGACTATCACCAAAAGGACGTATGCCTGCATTCTATCGATTGATACGGCTGTTGCAGAACCCTCTGTGGATGCTTGGAAATGTGTGTAATCAGATAATCCATCATTTATCGCAGTTGCGCATGGGAGATAGCGGGCTCGAGATTGGCAACTATGCGCTCCACAGCTCCCGAGGCTAAGAAAGCTAGCCAAGGCATCTCAAAGGCGGGGTCAATCTTTGCGAGTTTCCACTATCATGGAAGTCAAGGCTCTGAATGACGTACGGTGTCCGCGGACAACCTCATGACGACCCCGCATGTCTGCTTGCTCGCGGTCCCGGCTGCTTCGGCCGGCAGTCCGAGCGCAGGATGGTATCTCACTACTAGTCTGTCTAAGCCAACCCATATCCGATGAACACCAATCACATCTTGGGTAAACTGTTGCTTACTTCTTTCGATGAGTATCAGCGGGGCATCGGCCGAATATCGCTAAAATTAGAAGTTTAGAATATTGGGCTTTGGACGATGGAGTTGCGATGGGTCTCTCGGCCCCCGAGATGTTTATCATGAAGTTGTTTCGTCTAACGAAGTTCAGCTTAATTACAAGCAAAGTTCTGCCTCACTCCAAACACATGTTGACCAAGCAAATTGAAGCCATTGACAAGAGCAACAAAGAAGTTCAACATGCAGAGCACCCTTCCAGCGTCTTGGTATCGTGAGCCAGGCTTCTATCAACTGGAGAGACGCGCTATCTTCAGTAAATCATGGATCCTAGTCTCACATGTCCACCAATTCAGTGAGCCAGGCAAGTACGCTCGCTATGAGATGGCCGGTTATCCCTTTTTCATCATTAAAGACCGTGCCGGGAATATCAATGCGTTTCTCAACATCTGCCGCCACAGAGCATTTCCAATTGTTCATGAGAATGAGGGGAAGGCGTTTGTGCTGTCTTGCAAATATCATGGTATGCGCTCTTACCCGGCCTCTGACTCCGACCTACAGTACTAACACTATGGCAGGGTGGTCTTACAGCATGAATGGAAACTTGGCCAAGGCGCCTCGATTCGACCAGGTCGAGGACTTTGACAAAAGCGAGTATGAACTCTACAAGGTGCACAGCCATATCGATAGTCTGGGGTTCTTCTGGATCAACCTGGACGCAGCTGAAAAGCCGACGCTTAGCTGGGAGGAACAGTTTGGTGGCGTTGATAAACAGCCCCGGCTAGAGAACTTCGACATGAGCAACTATGAGTACGACCACACTTGGTCAATGGAAGGAAAATTCAATTGGAAAACACTGATTGAGAATTACAATGAGGTTCGTGCAATCAACTCCGATCTTTATAGTTGGTCAGTCTCAAACTGGGTACTAATTCTGTGGGCCTCCTGCAGTGTTATCATTGCCCGACAGCTCACCCTGGCCTCGCACCCTTCTTCAAGGGCAATAAACAGATGAACTATGGTCTCAATAAGTACTGGGTTGAACACCTCGGTGCAAAAGGAGAGCAACGTGCCAGCTCTGTCAGTCCTACATACATGTTTCCCAACGCTTCGGTCACTCTCACGTGAGTTAAAGTCATTCCCATGTGCCCTTAAGCAGGCTCAGCTAACTTGGTCTCCAGGCCTGTATTCTTCTACATGATGTCAATCGTACCCACATCTGCCACCACGAGCTTGATGCGGTACGAAGTCTATCGGTCAAAAACGGCGACTCCAGAAGAGTTGAAAGAAAAGCTGGACTTCTTCAGCCAAGTTGAGTCAGAAGACAAATGGCTAGCCAACGGATCGCAGTCCAATCTCAATAGTGATACCTACACAACTGGGCCATTTCACCCTGATGTGGAGGAAGCGGTTGTCTATGTCATTGGAAAGGTCAAGGGGCTTCTGCATGACCATGTGGCCGAGGAGAGAAAGCGCGGGTCGGAATGGTGGCCGGCTCGCAGAGGCCCTGTTCAAGCGACGAGATCATCCGCCGAAGAGGATGAGGCGTTCTGTCGGGGTGTTTGTTCGAGCTCTAACATGAACGATAAGGCTGTACCCGAGGGCTTAGCGTGGTAATTTAGCTCTGTCTGATTTTTAGGATCTCAAAGATCTAGACAAGTGATCAATCGAGACGCTCAAACCATTGTATATTTCACACGAGGTGATCACCTGGGCCGAGATAAAAGCTAGATACCCTAGAGAGTTATTAAGCTACCAGGGAGATACCACCATACCGTTGTCGTCATCAGGAAAATTGTTTGGTGGAGGCTTACGTTCGCGCTATTGCAGGAGAATAGTTGGAAATAGTAATTTGACGCTCGGCATGTAACGGAGACCGATGTTAATTGCATTAGGAATACGGTGGGCGCGTTCGCGTCCAGGGCAATTTAGTGCAGTTCACCAGACCCTACCGCGTCCTACGGCTCGGTGGTTAACTAGCTCCCTACCGTTGGAAAGTACTTGAATTCTAGTCTAATCCCAAAGGCACTCCAGTTCGATACTTGGAAATTGGCAAAAGACGAGTCAGTGGTGATAACTAGGGTAAATTACGCATCATACTTCAAAACGATGGTCTGTCGACGACATAATCGACATCGAAACATACCCGTAACTCCTGCTAATTCAATTACCAATTATTCCACGTTCAACTACTTGATCTCAACTATCATCATGGCCGGCTTCACTTCCACACTGCCCCGCACGCTTCTATCTCCATCCTTATACACCCATGTACACAATGTTTGGTTTCAAGGCGTAGCACCTCATGCCAAGATTGCCTCACGAGAAGCAATGACGCGTTGGTTCGGCCAGGGATCCCCGGAAGACCGTCGAGCATTTGACGACACCTGCACGAAAGAGTTCGCGGCCGCTCTAGAGTCCATCGGACCCGAAAAGTTCCCTCTTCCGCCTTCGAACAGCTTTTCAGAGGAGTCTGCCGCAGCCGAATACATTGCAGGTCCATTGATGCAAAGCATCAACACCTCGGACGGAGAAACCAAGAGCATGCAGACACTTGCACTCATTCTTCTGCTCGATCAAATACCCCGAAACATATTCAGGACACGCCAGGCCGTCATCTACACGCATTACGATCGGCTTGCAGGGGCAGTTCTCCGCAGCCTCATGAGTGCTGAATCGCGCCCTGACATGCATCCCTCGCTCCGATTGGCGCCGGCGCGGCGTATGTGGTTTTAAATGCCGCTGATGCACTCCGAACATATTGAAGACCACGAGACATACATCAAAGTTGCCAGCGAGATGTAAGAAGAGTTCCGAGAGCAGGGGGACAAACAGAGCGAGGACTATATCGGGGACAGCCTAGAGTTCGAGAAGAGGCATAAGCATCTGATCGAGCGGTTTGGGAGGTATCCGCACCGTAATGCGCAGCTGGGCAGATCGATGACGAAAGAAGAGGAGGAACACCTTCGAAGCGGAGGAGAACACTTCGGAACCGCAGTGTAATAAGACGTGGGGATTAGCTAAATGTGTGTTTGTAGCTGTATATAAACAGGGCATACATGTAAGAATATCTCAATCCTTCTCATTCTACCTTACTATGACCACATCTCATCCAAGAAGAACCTGCTTAACAATCCTCACCTCCTCCGTCGTGCCGCAGATTAGACCTGCTCTACCATCGCAATCCTTCTGAATCTTCTCAAGCAGTGGTCTGCCATCCGTGGGGTCAATGGCTTGGCCACCCGCACACTCCATGATCAGAGCAATCGGGTATAGCTCGTAGAGGAATCTGAGCTTGGGAAGAACACCGGGTGTAACAGGCATAACATAGACACCATGACCCTTGACAAGCGCATGCACAATGTCGGGTACAAGGCCGCCGCAGTACCTCAGCGTGTACTTCTCCTTGATGAAGCGCGTAATGAGAGCACTGTACCTCTCATCGTCCGCCGCATGTCGCAGGTTCGCGGGCGCAAAGTACCGCGTCTTGAAGGGTGCGTCAGCCAATTTGACGACCGACCGAATGACCTCGCAATCTTCCACGCCGTTCGGGCCGTATCCGATCTCAAAGCAAGCGGAGTCGGCGCCGGGGATCCGCACGGCGACAATGGCGGTAGTCCGGGGTCCGATGACACCAATAATGGCCGCAATCTGCTTCTCAACCGGTGACTGGCCCACCGCGGTGCGCCCATCCCAGATGCCGACAATTGTTCCAACCGTCCAGTTTGGCGCAATGATGGAGCTGCCATCAAGGGGATCGAAAGCGACGGTGTACTCCTCTGAGGTTGCAGGGATCTCGTTTGCGCCAGCGCTCGCTTGTGGCCTTGCAGGCTTCTCGATCGGGTCCTCCTCACTGCTTGCGGTCTGGATCGAGGGGCATCTCGCAATAGCTTCGCGCATTACGTTCTCGGAGAGCACGTCGACGTTGAGCTGGTCGTCACCAAAGGCGTTCGCTGTCCCAGCAAGTGAGACGTGCTGGGATGCCTGCAGAGTCTTGGCGATACCGGAAATGGCGTCAAGGATTGCCGGGATTACATCGCTGCGGAGAGACGAGCGGTCCCCTTGCGGAATCACCTTCTCCAAAAGCTGCGCAAGAGCTGGCGATGCCGACATGACTGGTTGTGAACTTGGTATGTGAGGCCCCTCAGAAAGTGTTGAGTCAGGACCGAAGTGAGTTATTTTAGGATCAGTGAAGTTGCGAGAATTTACGCTACGGCGTGGCCCCCACACATTCTCGACGGGTTCTCCCTTGATCCACCATTCTCACACTCATGGCGTCAAACTCAAACTCACGACTACTGGACACAAAATACTTACACCTGAATCGAGACATCATGAGCTCTAGAACCCTGAAAAGCTTTGTTGTCTGCTGACTATATTTGCACTGGTTTACAGGTCCGCTCGTCTTAAGATGCTGCATTTTCTTCAGTAAGACACCTACCTTATTGAGATATTGAATCGATCTGTCAGCAAAAGATAGAGCTCATATCTTATCGCGCACTTTGTCACTCCGCGTCTGTGATTCGCTAATGATTATCTACGAGAAGAGCAAATCACTAAGTTTGCGAGCTTTCCTCACCAGAGTCTCCACCCTGCCGTTTGAATCCATCGTAAAACCGCCTTTCCTCAAATACCCGTATATCATCATCGAAGTTGACCTTGCCAAGTTTTCGTGCCTTCAATATTTTCCTTCTCACTCTCATCACATCGTACTCCGTGTTCCGGGTCAACCACCAAGTCCATAGATTGGCGACAAAGGAGGCGATAGTTGTCGCCGCTGCTATCGCGAAGCTTGTTTTGTAACCATTGTATGCGAACTTTGACTGGAACAGCTGCGGCCCGATGACGCCGCCTAGCTGGGCTATACCCGATTGAAGACCAAGCGTGAAGGCCGTCCCCGTAGATCCAGAAAGTGTGGCAGATCTCCAGGCCCAGAACGGAATGAAGTATGATTGGTAGAACAAAGTTCCCAAGATGCAGGAGATGTAGATGCCATACCGATTGGTGATCGTGAAGAAGAGAACAAAGCATACAACCATGCCGGACATGAGTATCCTAACCTTCTAGTCAGTGACTAATACCTCGTATCTCAACTCTTGAATAAGACTCACATGATGTAGGCTGGCCGGACGATATACGCTCTCGACATGAACCACGCCGAAAATATTAAGCCCACGATGGCGGCAAACGCAGGAGGCATGTTCAACAGCTGATTCCTCGGCAGCCCCACAAAGCCAAGATTAGTAACAATGGTAGGCAAGTACCATGTCAACGCGTATCCTCCAATATTGATGAGCGTCTGCGACAGCATGAATGACCAAATCAATGGTGTTCGTAAGGCCGCCCAAATCTCTTTGCCGGCGAAATCAGGATCGTTAGTCAGGGGCGCATTCTCCGGTAACCTGGCCTCTACAAACTCTTGTTCCCTCTCTGTCAGGAAGCGGCTGCTGCGCGGTGACTTGGGATAGTCTGGTAGCAGCCAAAATACCACACCAGAGAAGACGATGGTAGCCAGTCCTTCGAGAAGGTACACCCATCTCCAAGCACTAATACCACGAATCCCGTTCATATAGCTGATACCATAACATAGAATAGATCCGATGATACCTGCCAGGTTGGACATTGCAAAGAACCAAGTCACTGGTTTGCCTATCTCATCTGTGCGGTACCAGCTAGATAACTGGGCCATGATACCCGGAAACATCCCCGCCTCGAACATCCTGGGATGCAGTCAGCACGCTTTTGGCCTAGATATCATACAGGGACTCGAGACTCACCCAAGCAGAAATCGCATAGCGTAAAGTTGATGCCGATTTTGAGCTGCAGCTTGGCAGGCTGTAATGATTCCCCAGGTGAGGAAGATACGAGACTGCCAAAGATGTGGACTCATACGCTTCAGGAGAAGATTACTGGGTGCTTCAAAGATGATGTAGGCGATCTACCCTTTGTTAGTGTTTCATAACGATGACCGAAGTTGCGCCATAAGCCTAGGTAGTTACTTACACCATAGATGGATCCGACCCAATTGTATTGGTCAGACGTCATGTCGAGCTCTTTCATGATATTCCGGGACTCTCCTGCCTGCAACACCCGCACATTTGCAGCATTGGTTTGGTCAATCTGGAAATTCGTTAGTACGCTGAGTCGAGTGGCTTCAGCCAATCTACAAAATTGCTTCACCTGCTTGATCATAAACATTACGCCGATGAGAAGCAGGAAGGCCTTGTCAACTTTGTTGATGACGGATCTTTCCTCTTCCGCCGAAAACGTTGAAAGAAATGCCGCTCGAGCTTCTGGGTCATCTCGTAGGTTGTCGACGTTGGCCCGAGCCACGGCTGCGTTGGCTTGCTGCTTCCGGCTCGCGGCCGTTGCATCGTGGTCGATCCGGACTTCGTCGGGCTGTATCGGTGCACTCATCATGGAACCCGCGATAGCTAAATTAAGCCATTCTAGGAGTTGAGGGTCAACTTCCAACGGAGGTGGTCTTTAAAGTCAAGTTACTGATTGGTGCCGACATCTAATACCCGATGCCGGCATTGCTTGCCATCTGCATCTCGATACCGATTTTCTTATCAGCGGGGATTTAGGGGAATGTGCATGATGTGCTCGAAGTTGATATGGCGATATAAAGCCTGGAGTGTGATGGGCTCTTACAGAGTGCTTCTGAAGCGTTGCTGTATCTGCACATCATTCGCTGAAGCGCGCCGAGAACTGATGGCGGAATCATGGCCCACCCTTCCATCATCTGCAGGATTCTTGCGTACCAACCCAACGACGTCGTGTTCGCAGGGCTAGTCCGGCTAATATCCGCGTCCTTCTAATACATCTTCAGCATTTCTTTCTGGTCGGGAAAATACACAGACCGGCGAGGAAATGTTTCCCAAGTCCGATAAAGGAGTCCGACGACCTCATAGAGGGGGATTAAGGTAGTATCTGTCGGAAAATATCCGTAGGATTTCCGCACGCAACATGCAGATGAAATGACGCCAAAGAGACATGGATGTTATAAACTACAGACACTGACTTGGGATTGGCTTTATTGTGCCACCAAGGGCAAAGCAAGTCACAACTAAACCTAGGCCAAATCCAAATTTACGAATAGCGGCCCTTTTCCGGCTCCGACGATTGGTTGTACGGTATCGAAATCTACTTTTTTTGACTTTTTTAAACGACCACAGTAACTATGGCTTCCTCAAAGAGTCAAGACGGCGGTACAAGTGCCAAGCCCCAAAAGCAGATTCTTCTCAATGCCTTTGATATGTTCACTGTGGGACACCTGTCCTTTGGCCAATGGCGTAATCCCAAAGACAGAGCCAAATACAAACGCCGCGATCTCACCTATTGGACAGACCTAGCAAAGCTCCTCGATAAAGGAGGGTTTGTGGGCTTGTTCTTGGCCGATACTTTTGGGCCATACGACACGTTAGCGTCACCTCATCCTCTGCTCCAGCCAACATCGTCATTGCTAACATGGCTTTCAGATACAAGGGGAGCGCAGAGCCATCGGTCAGAACAGGCGCCCAATGGCCTATGGCCGACCCTGTAATCGTGAGTATGACCTCGGCAGCGATGTCTTCGTCGCGCATGCACCCTCCGATATGCCCCGCGGATGACTAACATGATATAAGCCCGTTTCCGCGATGGCTGCTGTAACCAAGAATCTTGGATTTGCCATCACAACGTCAACTTCGTACGAGCAGGCATACGTGGTTGCAAAACGCTTCAGCACCCTCGATCACTTGACGAAGGGACGTTTTGGATGGAACATTGTCACCAGCTGGAAAGAATCAGCTTCCAAAGCTGTAAGGTCCTCTTCTTGATGTCTTGGGCTCTACATCTCACATTAAACGGCAGGTTGGCCTTCCGTTAGTTGAACACGACACCCGGTACTCAAATGCAGACGAGTACTTGCGAGTTTTGTACAAGTAAGTCTTAGATTGAAGAAATTGCTCATTCAGGTGCACTGACAAGATTATGTAGATTGTGGGAGGGCTCTTGGTCAGATACCGCATTGGTAGAAGACGCAGAGAAAGGCATATACTCGGATTACTCTCAAATTCGTCCCATCCATCACCATGGCAAGTTCCACGTCGATGCACCTTTTCTGACAGACCCTTCTCCCCAACGTACGCCTGTGCTGTTCCAGGCCGGCACATCTCCGTAAGTTCCACGTACCTTTCAGAGTCTTGAACCTGGATGCTGATCATTCCTGAAAGCGCGGGCATCAAATTCGGTTCCACCCACGCTGAAGGCATCTTTGTTGCCGGTCTCTCCCCACATGTTGTAGCACCAAGAGTCAAGGCCATCCGCGAAGGCGCCATCGCCGCAGGACGAGATCCTTACTCCGTCAAAGTTTTCGCCATGATAACCCCAATTATCGGCAAAGATGAAGAAGACGCCAAAAGAAAGTACGAAGAAGCCCTCAAGTACGTCCTCATCGAAGGTGGCCTTGCCCAATTCTCCGCGACTACAGGTATCGATGTTTCTCAGTTTGACCTTGACCACGAACTCACCGAGGCGGACGTTGCGAACCACCTTCAACGTATTCACTCGTCGCTATACAACTTGCGCTATCGCGGCGATGATGTGCCAAAGTTGACGCCCCGAAACCTGGGCACGGTCACGGCAATCGGTGGGAACGGGGCTATGCCGGTCGGTACCGCGGCTCGGGTTGCGGACGTATTCCAGGAGTGGGTGGATATTGCCGACGTTGATGGATTCAACATTGGTTACGTTGTTACGCCTGGCAGCTTTGAAGATGCCGTCGAGTACCTCGTCCCAGAGCTCCGTAGCAGAGGATTATTGCCGCCGGCGATTCCTGATGACGAGCCGGCTCCTACTTTCAGAGAGCAGATCTATGGGCCTGGACAAAAGGGGTTGAGGTCTGACCACCCGGGATTCAAGTACAAGTATGATACTTACGAAGAGACTATTGCCAAGGAAAGTGCTGCGAAAGCTGCAACGGCGGAACATTGAAGATAGCCGTGAGCCGTCAGTTTAGGGAGGAATTTTGACAGGAGTTAGCCTTAACGAGCCGCGTATCTTTTAGCTCAAAAACCTGTACCTATTCAGAGTTACGTCACGTTTCTCATGAACCGGGGTGTTCATGTTGGGACGGCTTTTACTTGCACAGTCAGTAATGTTGCTCAATTGATTCACTCATCATAGTTTTCTCTGAATTTAGGAAAATGTTTTCCTGCCGCCCGCATGATCTAACTCTCATCACGAGTTGCTCCATGCAGCAGCACCAAGTAGCTCATCGATGACAACTCGGCCGCTTGGCATGAAGCGCGCCCGACCCCAGCGTGGGGCCGGGTCCCCCACCGGAAGCACAATAATGTGATCATCAAAGACAGCCAGCCTTAATCAGGAAGCAATAAGCACGCTCGCAAGCGGTGAACCCACGGTAGATGTTGCCAAGACTCAAACATGTGCCGAACGTGGATCCGTGAAGGTAGGACTGACAGGTGACCACCGACCCGGTTCAGCAAAAACTCGACTGCTCCCCGCAATCCCCGCATCATCCAACTCGGTCACGACACCACCACCGGGACAGAGCAACGACTCACAAACACGTCTTCGGATCCAGCGCCATGGCTAGAGGTTCATCGATGGTCCAGGCCACAGCTATTGGAGCTTTCAGGATCTGGTAGACCCCGCCAGGCTAGAGGTAGGGCCGACTCAGACCCCAGACCTTAGACTTGGGACTTGGAATCCATCAACACAGATCCATGTCGCCATTCCCAATTATCACTCTTGCAATGCTACAATGTGGATGCTGCGGGATGTCCGGGGTCTCCGCACCTGTTCCATTGGATCTACGACCCGAACATACTCCGGTATCCAGCTTCGAGACCATCACGGACGAAGAAAACAGCGCCACCCACCTTCGGGCTTGATGGGATGAACCTGGGTTGTCTAGCTCAAGTCTATTTGGATAAGCTTAACAACCTTATGCAACATATGTGAAGAATCAGTTCTTAGCTCAAAAAGCACGGCTCTCAAGCTCAAAAGGCTAGCTACTTCATCATAGCCGTGATTAAGAGAATGAATACAGCTTGAGATCGCAATGAATTCTGATAAGTCTAGCAACTGCCAATGAGTTGCAACAACGAGTATATCCAGCGCTCCAGCTTCGGTGGGATCGCTAGGTGTCGTACACTTGATTGTGCCACTCGCTGATCTCGCTTTACTTTAGCGCTCGGGACGTATGCGAATTCGCGGAGTTCTCTCCCGACAGGAAAGCATGACATCGTCACCTCATACAGCTGGAACCCCTCATCCGCCACATAACAGAGCCCCATACCAGTTTTATTGACCGATACAAGGCCGTTAGATAGCGTGCCAAGAACAGATATCGCATTGCCCCCATACCTACACGGTTCGTTGTCTGAGGTAGCATCTACTGCCAAGTCGATCCGACCTCGACGATGGCCGTCTGCCATCAGAGATTGGCCATGTGCCACCATAAATACCCCTCTGGCTCTTTCAGCCAGATAATGTGAGAAATCTCAGGATCGTTAGTCTCATAAACAATTCCACACTACGTGATTCTCCTCTGAGATCACAACCATTATGAAGCTCGAAGTCGCAACACTGGCCTTCGCCAGCCTCGTCCTACCAGCTACCTGCGCATCAACCCCCTCCTTCCCAAAACAGCAAAGGCTAGCCCGCCAAGATAACACGGAGTCTCTACCAATCTACAAGAACTCATCCTACTGCGTCGACGCACGCGTCCAAGACCTTATCCAACGGATGACAGTTGAAGAGAAAGCCGGCCAGCTCTTTCAAACTCAACTCTACCAAGGTCCCAATGGCACTCTCGACCCTGGCAACGTCACGGCCCGCCGCAACAGCACCGATAACATGATTGGCGAGAAGTTCATGACGCACTTCAACCTTGTCGGCGACATCACGGACGCGAAGCAGGTTGCAGAATTTGTCAACCTCGTTCAGCAGCGTGCTCTGGATACGCGTCTGGGTATCCCCGTGACCCTTTCTACCGACCCTCGGCACCACTTCACAGAGAATATTGGCACTGGTTTCCAGGCTGGTGTCTTCTCACAATGGCCAGAGACACTCGGTCTTGCCGCTCTGAGGGATCCCGAGCTCGTTCGAAAATTTGCCGAGGTCGCTCGAGAGGAGTACATTGCTGTCGGCATCCGAGCTGCCCTGCATCCGCAAGTCGACCTTGCTACCGAGCCACGATGGGCACGCCTGGGCAATACCTGGGGCGAAAACGCGACCTTGACAAGCGAGCTCATTGTCGAGTACATCAAAGGCTTCCAAGGAAGGGAGATCGGTCCTCACAGCGTGACGACTGTGACAAAGCACTTCCCTGGCGGTGGTCCGATGGAAAACGGTGAAGACTCTCACTTCACATACGGCAAGAATCAGACATACCCCGGAAACAACTTCGAGTACCATCTCACCCCCTTCAGGGCGGCAATTGCAGCCGGCGCGAGGCAGATGATGCCGTACTACTCCCGTCCGATAGGCCTGTCTGATAACTTAACCGATTACGAGCCAGTCGGCTTCTCCTTCAACAAGCAAATCGTCACGGACCTACTCAGAAACCAACTCGGCTTCGAAGGTATCGTCGTCACTGACTGGGGTCTCATCACTGATACGGTGATCCGCGGCCAAGACATGCCGGCACGCGCATGGGGCCTCGAAAACACGACCGAGCTTCAGCGCGCAGCTCGGATCCTCGATGCTGGGTGTGACCAGTTTGGTGGTGAGCAGCGTACCGAGCTCATCATCCAGCTGGTAAAAGAAGGCATCGTGTCCGAAGACCGCCTTGACGTCTCCGTCGGACGTCTCCTTCGCGAAAAGTTTCTCCTCGGGCTCTTCGACAACCCCTTCGTCGATCCCGAGGCCGCAACGAGAGTTGTTGGCAACGACTACTTCCTCCGGCTGGGCAATGATGCCCAGCGCAGAGCCTATACTCTTCTCACGAACAAGGATGAGCTCCTCCCTCTAAAACACATCAGCGCAGAAACCAAATTTTACATCGAGGGTTTCAACGCCACGTTCCTCGAGGCACGCAACCTCTCGGTCGTTGAGACACCGGAAGAGGCGGACTACGCCCTGCTCCGCCTCGATGCACCCTACGAGCCTCGTCCAGGCGGCTTCGAAGCAGCTTACCATGCCGGCTCGCTCGAGTACTCGGACGAGGAGAAGGCGCGCCAGGCCGCGATCTATGCGGCCGTGCCTACCGTCGTCGATGTGATCCTAGACCGTCCTGCTGCGATACCCGAGGTGTTTGACGCCGCTTCTGCGGTGTTGGGCAGCTACGGGAGCGGTAGCGAAGCTTTCTTGGATGTGATCTTCGGGTTGAGCAACCCCGAGGGCAAGTTGCCTTTCGATCTCCCACGATCACAGCAAGCTGTGGAAGATGCGATGGAGGATGTGCCGTATGATACGGTGGATCCTGTATTCAGGTTTGGCCATGGGCTGCGCTATGCCGACAAGTGTTCGTTGTGATGGCGAGCGATATGTGGCTCGACTCTTGATGTCCTTTGTCGGCGAGTAGTAGCGAGATTTACCAGGAATAAGGGATGTGAGAGGAGCAGTCGTCATGACTATAATGACTGATGAGACCGGACTTCTGAAAAGGATGTTTGGATGATCGCATTCACGCATGAAGATTAATGTTAGATGTGCTACTGAACAATAAAAATGGGGAATCTTTGATTTTTCTATACCAATTCAAGTCTATCATCAACATCCTTCGCTGCCTCAATGCTCCTCTTCAATACGCTGGTCTCCGATCCGCTGAGCTCTCTCGCGTTCATACCAACCATGCAGCTCATATCCTTCTTCCTTGCCCCCTTAACCCATTGCTGGTCAATCATCCAGTGTGTCGGCACCGCAAACTCGTTCGGGTCGTCCATCTTGTTCTTCAAGAGCCCGCCGTTATACCACAACAAGTTATCCACCTCGTCCACGTGCGCAATCACGAAGCTGCACACCTGCGTCATCTCGGTCTGCACTCCGCTAAACGGCTTCCGCCAGCCGACCATACCGCCATAGTGTCGCGAGAAGCTGTACGTCGAGCCCGTGGCCTCGAGGCCGATCCAGTACGTCTCCTTGTCGCCGTACGTGATCCTGTACGTCCACGAGTTGCGCACGGCGTGCGTGTTCTGCCACGCCGTGTGTAGTAAGCCCATGAGCACGTTCAGACGGCCCTTGTTGAGCACCACGATGCCAGAGTCGCCTTCCTCGGCGTACTTTTCCGTCCACACGAGCGACTTTTGCAGCTCCTCGCTTGGGTGTTTGATCATATCGTGGAACCATTCGTGTCTCTCGGGGAACTGATCTTTCCAGAGCAGTCGGTCATGGAAGAGAAGCGCACCCTTTTCTTGGTAATTGCGCTGTTGGAAGAGCTGCTCGGGTTTCTGCAGGAAGACGACATCCGCATCCAGGAGAATAACTTCCTCGAATCGGCTGCCGAGTGCGGCAAACGGCTTAATCGCCCATCCTCCCTCGGCCAACTTCAATGTCGTGTCGTTGAAGACAGTCAAAATGTCCAAAAATTCAATGCGTCCGCCATCGCCCTCGGCAGCTTGCACAAGCGTGTCGCGGTCCTCCTCAGATAAATCCTCTTCGCCGGCGTAAACAATCTGAATGGGCAGCGTAGTCTGCAAAACGCGCGTCAAGGACGCAACCAAATGACACGCAAATCGCAGCGTGCCGTGTCCCGTCGGAATGACGATACCGGCATTTCTCGGCACGTACTCCGGCTTCTCTTTGCCGGACCCGGCGGCGCCCAATTGCTGTGACGGGACCCGCGGGGACGCACGATCAGCGGCAGCGCCCCCCATAAACCTTCGCCTGAGATCGGCCAGAGGCGTCTGGCTGTGGATGTCCCTCGGCGGAGACTGCAAATAAGGGAACAGGGATGCGGCGACTCGCTCGACCTGGGCGTCGAGAAACTGTCTCTCGGCCCCCACAACCCGCAGGCCGTCGGTGCGGCCGCCCTCCTTCTCCTCGAGCGCCTCGATCCACGAGCGCAGCACCTTTGTGCGCTCACCCAGCTCTCCAAACACTTTCTTGTATGGCGGGCCGAGGGGGTAGTCGACGAAATATTGTGCCGTCGCGTTGATGGCGTCGAGGTTGAGACCGGACGTTTTTGAGGTGCGGAAGCTGAAGTTGGCTGATGTGAAAGGTGTTATCGCGCCGTGGAATCGGAGAAGGTAGACGACGCAGAGGGTGACGAAGGCCGCGCCGGCGATGATTGGCGTCGACTGACCGCCGTATCGCGGTGATACTAGGAGACGAACCATCCTTAAGGCCCTTTCACATTCCCTTCTTCTTATCTCTCAAAGTCGTATCAATTTGTCGATTCTTTTTTGCAGCAAAAAAGCTCGCAATGGAACTCGGAAACTGAGTCTTCTCCCAGCGTCTCGACTGCCTGGGCCGGCGACCTTTTAAACAGCCAAGACCTTCAAGCTGTGCTTCCATTTTTGGGGTGTTGGGACCGGTGCTAGCCCAAAGCTTATTATGCCGATGTTCCTTACTCCCGCGTCAACCCAGACTCAGCTTAATCTATCTGACTGGCGACACTTGCGCAGCTTCCACCCCGGCTCGCGTGTTCCGAGATCAGTGATATCTGCGTCCCGTCCGCCAGTCACAGGTGAAGACGCAAGATGATGCCAGCGGCGGCCAAACCAACAAGCATAGCCCATCCCTTTTGTCGTTAGGACCGACGGCGGGTGGGCAGGGCACACAGGGCCACGCCAGCAGGTCTCAGCCGTTGGAACTCGACTCGTCGTCCCGTTGCGAATCCCTCTAGGGCTGGGCTTTCCAGCGTGCAGGGCTTGGAGGGGACAGGTCCAGGGACGCCCCTGGACCCCAAGCTACCGGGACGAACACGCGTCTTGGATATAGCATGGGCCCACGTCCAAAGCCCACAGGGTCCAGGCCACGAATCAACCCCCCCGCATCCCGAAAGGCTTCGAACCCCTTTTTTCCTTTCGTCTCTTCTTAGATCAATGATGGAATGGCATGTCAGATATATCAGCCGGCCACTGACCTCACATTTATCTGCCGTACATCCGTGACGGCGTTCTGAGTCTTTGGGTTTCATACTTGCTTTGATCGTTACTTTCCCTACACCTCTTCGAACGGCTTAACGGTTGGTGTTTGATGGTTGATGTGGTCTTCACCAGAACCAGCTGTCGCATTCGAATCGACACTGTGACAGCGCTGGAATTCAGCTTGAACGGCCATGACGGGGCGTTGGGCTCATTTGAAGCTCAAGGTATTTGATCTCACGCCAATTGGGCGGAGGCAGGCTCCTACTCATCTCATTTGATTCGAAACTCGTTGATCAGCTCGTACTCGAAGCGATGAGCCTTTCATTTTGGTTCGACCTGCTATTCCAGGCAAAGTGGCTTGTCAGCTGAAATTCTGAATTGAGACTTCAGGGGGGGATGCTGTCGGGCTTCGATCACGAAATGGTGCTAGCGCCAAGAAAAGGACATTAGCGCCAACGATCGCTACTTACCTCAATTACTTCATGCTCATGGGTCTTGCCAGTGGGATGACTGACTCGTACTTCATGGCTGGCCAGCAAAAGAAAGCTCTTTGGCGCATCAACATTTTATCGAAATCGAAGCATCTCGATGTCCAAAGCTGACAATGAAAGTTGACTTTGAAGCATGCGACTCTCTTGCGTGTGAGGCAATCGAAGCAATGCAACCAGAACTTCAAAAGGACACGGCTAATTGAAACGGAGAGCCCAACTGAAAGTTTGTTATGTGACTTGACATTTGAACCTGCGCCTCAATGCGAAGCCACACACGTGGTATCGTCGCTGAACCACCTTCTCAGAATATGGCCAATCTGAGGTCTCATGGCCAGCGGGAGCCAGGTTTTCCATGGAAACCACCTCACCTTAGGCGGGTAGAATGAGCTATGCTGCTCCGTGAGAGACCCGTTAAGGGTCAAGCAGGTTTCAGTGTTCGTATCGAGAGACATGCGCCAAATCTATGGTGGTGAAATCTAACCTACCGCGCATCAACTTGACACAGTCGCCAGCATTTCTGGCGCGCAACCGTTTGCACACACGTCCTCGTTCTTGTCTCAGTTGGCGTCGTTGGACCAAGACTTCTCAACTATCAAGGACTGAGGGCTGAACCCGCCCATCCGATGCCTGTCGAGCCTGGGTCACGCTTCAGATTTATAAGACGTCAAGTTAAATCCAGCCCTCGAGGTGGGCGCTCAAGCGGAAATGCCGAGATTTCTACAACTGCGCTTCTCGCACAACACAAATTCAAGCGGATGTGGATCGATCACTTGACGTACGAGGTAACAGAAGCCAACGTCCTGTTCACGTGGCTCTGGCTGAAGTAGGAAGCAAGCTTGAGAAAGACATCACCCTTCGGCGTGTGGGGTTGGTTTCGACGAAGGAGATCCTCGTATTGTCAAGGAGACAGTTCATGTGTACGAAGAACGGTTCTTCGAATATCTCGAATGCGTGTGTCAATTCTTGGAAGAGCTAAGGTACCCGTTTTGACGCCTGAAGCAGCCATCAACATCCATGTGAGAGCCGACTTCAGGGGGCGTGCCAAACAATTTCCCAGCCTTCCTTCCAAAGCCGATGATAAAGGCTCATCTCAATAGAGCCAAGTAAATTTTTGCGGACGCGAGCCGACGTAGATGCCCCCATATGCTGGCATCGCGTCAGTTCTCCTCCGCCACATGCTGCTCTGCATCGGCATATCCCAGGATACGGCTGGTCCTTCAAGTATTAGTAACCAGGAAGTCCACCTCTCGTATGATGTATCTGCCAACGCAATCCAAACATCTAAGCAGAACAAGAAGGAGAAGGGGCATTGAAATAGGGACTCTGCTTCTTCGCGGCCTCGTCAATCTCATCCAGGGTGGCTTGCAAGTTGTGCCCCATGGCAGTCGCCTCATCGAGAAGCTTGATTCGGCCATAATCAAGCCTGATGCATTCCTGAATAACCTTGATTTCCCCGCTCCAATTCTGTAAGCCGAAGTTGCCGAAGTTGCAGAACTTGCGGACCTGTTCTAGGTGCTGCTTCATCGAGTTGTTGCTGATCTCAGCGATCTTCTGGAACATGGCAATTCTCTCGGACAAGTCCTTAAGCATATCGACAGTCTTCTCGCGCGCCTCCTGGTTGGTTTGAAAGGCTGTGTTGAGGGTGGTGGCAGCGAAGTTGCGCGCGGCGTCCAGCTCGTCCGTCAAGTCGACGATCTCCAGCTGAGACTTCTCAGCGTCCTCGGCCTCCACATAAAGCGCGTCAGTCAGTAGCTGTGACTTCTCTTCGGCGGCTTCAAGCTTCTTCGTGAGTTCAGCGATCTCTTGCTTGTCGGCCTCGCGCTCTTCCATGAGCTTGACGATTTTCTGCTTGGACTCCTTGGCATCCTCGACCTCAGTCATCAAGTCGGCGTTTCTGTCCTTCAGCTCCTGAATCTTCTTTGCTGAATTTGAATTGATTTAGTGACGTTGTTTGGGTAGAACATTGTGAAGTCAGAAAGGATGACGTACCAGCCTGACGAGCAGTCTTGTTGCCGATCACGGTGGGAATGATCTCGAGGATGACCATGACGCCAAAGGGGATCAAGATGGCGATCAAGACCGTCTGGATGACTTGCTTGAAGACGTGATACTCCATTATGAGCGACAGGTCTTGTTGGTGATGAAGTTGCTTCGGTAATTCGGGCTTCCGTAGGGTTTGATATGATGATGGTCTTCTGATGCAAGAGTGTAGTGTATGTTTGGAGAAAAACAAATCCAGCAGGAAGGCGATGTTGACAGCTTGAGTAGCCCTTCTTCTTTGGTTCCTTCCTGAAAGATCGTGGGATAGGTAAGGTTTGATGCCAGCGGGAACATGTGATTCCATGATTTCCAAAAGGCGGGTGCCACCGAGTGATGTGATTGTTCTGGCTGTGGAAGCCTCCGGAAGACAGCACAAGACCTCACGCTCTTCCGTTGTGTTTCCATGCGGGAGACTAGAGCTCTTTCAAAGTTTCGGTGTATGGGACAACAGGCAGACAAGCAACGATTGGCAATGATAAAGAGAAAGAGGTTTCAGGAGAGGTCTCGGTAAAGGATACAATTATTTATGATGGAGGAATTGTCTTCAAGAGCTACCCTCTGGTGGTCCATTGATTGGAATCTTCTAGACGAGCCCAGTATCGATGTTGAGGAGATTTAGGAAAGTATCAGTAATTTCTTTGAAGATTTAGTGAAGACACGCCAACTTTCACCTTGGGAGCAAATGTTTGGATAGGTCGGCGTGTCTAGAAGATATCCAGGAGCTGTTACATAACCCATTAGGTTTAATTATGTTTTTCAATTCCCATTGAGAGAAATAAATGGTTCATCTGAGTAAGTAATATTGAGCAAAAACGGTCTGGATGTCTCGAGGACTTGTGGAACAAGTACTCGGTTCTCTTGATTGTAGCAAGGAATTGTAGGCATGTCTATGTCATGGTATTGCTTCTGTGCTGATTGATTCTATGATCGCTGTTTCTTGACGCTTTCCTGTGCTCAGTTCCCCCTGACCGCCCTGAAGGTGACAGAATTATCAGAAGTACCTGTGAAGCATCATCTATTGCTCCAGCTCACGATTCTTGCGGTCCATGTCTTTAACCCTGTTGCTAGAGCCGCCAACCTCATCTGCCTTCTCGATGATCTTAGCACGTATCTTCCGGAGCTCCTCCAAACCCTTCTCAACATCCGCCTTCATATTCTCCACCTCGCCTTTTTCCTTTTCTAGGTCGGCCCTCATCTGCTTCACCTCCTCTTTACCCTTCTCAATCGCCTTTTCCTCTTGATCGATCCGTTCACCCTTGTGCACAAAAAGGCTCCAAGCATTTGTCTTAGTCTTTTCGTACTCGCGACGCTCGCGTAGAATTTCTTCGCGGAGACTCTCTTCCATTTTCAGAAAGACTTGATAGGCGACAAGGGCTTTCACGCGGGTTTTCTCTGTTATCTCAGCTGATCAGCAACGACTCAATGACGGAATGAATGTTCGGCAGGATACAGAGCATACATACCGATGCGTCGCTCGAATAGGTTATCTCTGCACCACTTGGAAATGTCTTGGACGAGAAGAACGACGAGCATCGCTCCGCCGACGCTCGCCAGGAAATACCAAACCTCCTCAATCTCGTTGATTGTAGCGTCATTGCCCATGTTGGCTCGTCTTGGTTTCTCTCTGCACCTAGTGCTGGATTGGGGGCATCAGTCGAGGTTGGGGTGCAGTGGCTGATAGGTTTAGCAATGATGGTCACTGATAGCTTGATGATTAATAGAGTTGAAGATGGGGGCGTGTAGTTGGAAGTGTTGGTGGAATTATGAAGGACCAGGCGGAGTTTTCCCATCTTCAGGAAGACCTTGGTTCTTTCACTTTGTTGAGAACCTGTAGCTACGGAAAGTTCTGGGTGCAATGGTTTAGGCTCCTGCCTTCAAATGCAGTTTGGCAATCCCAAGGCGTGTGTACGTAGATACAAGGGTACATCTGATCTCAGGCAGAAGAGGGAAGGACTGCCCGGTGATAGCTTCAACAACAGGACCTCCCTTGATATTTCCTTCACAAAGCCGATGCTAGACAAGGTATAGAATCCCTTCAATGGTGGCCCCTGACTGCAAGTCTAAATAAAGAGACAAGACAGTACAGCCCTCCCACAGGCAAGGTATAAACAAACGCTGGGAGGGCTACAGACGAACTGTAAATGGCTATAGAATACCACAGATGTAATTTCAATCTGTCCTATATCAGCGTTCACATTCAGGGGTAGTCTCATTCAAAATATGATATCTACCGCACTTCACTACTCTGCAGCACACGTATACGCCATGCCGAATACACACATCCGGATTTCCACGGCCTAATAGAAACTAGTGCGATTGAACGAAAACTGCCCTTCTTTGGTAATTCTAAAGGATACTATTTTAGCAAAGTTTTTGTTAGATATTGTGGCTGTTGGTGGTGGCGACACCACGAATAAGGTCATGACATTCATCACACCCTTGTGTGGTTTTTCAGATGGACATGTGTTTGGAAAAGTCCATTTTTATGAACTACAAAGTATCGATAAGTCCTTACACCTATATAGATAGCAGTGCTAGAGAGTAGGGGCTATGCTGTGGGCTGTGCTCGCTCGTGTATTTGGGGTGGGGGGGGGGGGGATGGAGACAAGGTTGCCATAAAGAACCGCCGATATGCATCTATGTTCACAATGACTTTTGCAAATGAAATGAAAAACATATATAGGCCTTTGTAATGAAATTTGCTTCTCTTGATTATACTGAAAATTATTTTTGCAGGCGTCAGCTGGCTCTGCTCAGGACAGATCAGTCTCAAGAGATAGTTACCAACTACTCACTGTTCCGAATCCGAGCTTCTCATTGGACAAGCTTGAAAACCGAGAGCTTTGCATGGGGAGAGGGGTCAGCTGGTAGTCCGTGGTATGGTAGAAACCACATGGGAACTATGACTTACAATTGACTTGTCTGGATTATCAGGAAAGTTTCCAAGACAAAGGTACCTAGGCTCGATACAATAAACTCAGTAAAGCATTCTCCCGTTTTCAGACTCACTGTACCCACTTTGTCTGATGGAGTAGTTTGCAAGCTCTGAAAATCAGTCGTAGCATGTGTGAGATGCCAGTTGCAAAGAACTAAGGAGGCTCGGACCGAAGCTGGGCTATGAGGCGGGAGAGTCGGACCCGAAGCCATGGTAACTCATCAACTGCTGCGAGAACCACCGACAATGCCGCTGACTACTCCGTACCAAGCATCCAATCTCCCGGGTCGGTGGGCGGGTGAGGTTCATCCGAGTCATGAGCCAAGCATGGATGCCAATGGGCGCTACCCAGCGATAGAAAGCTTAAATTTAGGGCTGTTTAGAATATATTACAGCAACTGTCCGTCGTTTTCGTCGCTTTTGGAGTCGGAGAGATCACTATTCTAGAAACATCCTCCGCAATCCGATAAATGCGTTGGCTGAGCCTCATGTCTTAGTGCACCTCGAGTGCCGTGGCTAAAGACTTGGGTAGTCGTGTGCTATTCGCAGGCTGGTTGATGCAGGAGTGACACTACACCAGCAAGCCTGAACAACGTCAGGTAATTCACAGACAACCCCCCACACCACTGCCGGACGCAATCGCGTTCTCGGTCATAGTATACTATGTATGGGCCCAGATCTAGACTCTTGAATCAGCCTTTGACTCCGTTATGAACTCAAAATAATTTCACGATAGCGGAGGCGGAGTCTATTGGGGCTGACGAACTCCCACCGGGAGTCCGGGAACACTGCGTATTCCTCGACCACGCCAAAAGAATGCAAATGTTCTGCTGGTGCGTGGCCCATCTTGGCGTAATAGCGCCATCTCGCACCAATTTTATACCTTAGGTAGGGGTGACCCATCATTATAGTTAATTGAGCTCCAGCACCACCAAAACGAGCTAGGCCACTTCGTGGGCAGGAAATTTCCAGGTGCCGTCCCTATTCTGCGAGTCAACGACTCCTGAATCCACGCTATGTGAGCAGACTCAGCAAAAGTTGCAAAAAAGTTTCTTAGAGAGTACCAAGACTTTCTTAATGTGTTGTTCCTGCTGACCCAAAGTGCCAAGATGGGTCCATCTCCGTGGTATCATTATCTGCCTGAACCGGAGCCGATTGCGACAATGAAGCCATGTCCACACTGCATTCTATAAATCATCACCAGCGCCGTGCTCTCTCTCTGCACGCAATATGATAGAAGTAGTTGATTATACCGTTCTCTCTCACCCACATTCTTTTGTGTGATTCGCAAACCCAACTTTTACACTCTTTTTCAAAGTACATACAGAAACACATTCTTTTTCACAATGTTGGTCATCCCAACAATACTCTCCTGCCTCTCCCTGGCCCAGGCGGCCAACATCTTCGTTTCTCCCAAGGGCGTAGCGACCCCAGATGGCTCCCAAGCCAAGCCCTTCTCCGACATCCAAGCCGCCGTCAACATCTCCCAGCCGGGCGACGTCATCATCCTCCGCGGCGGCACCTATGACCTCCTGAAGAACATCAACATCACCGTCAACGGCACCGCCGCCGCTCCCATTACCCTGCACGCCGCCAAGGACGAGGAGGTCATCATCGACGGCGAGGGTCTGCCGGATACCCCCGCGCCCGTCGGCGCTTCCGTGCCGGGCCGGAACCGTGGTGTGCTCCACGTTGAGCGCGTTCAGTACTGGAACTTTGCGCGTCTTACCTTTACGCACGGCGCGTACGGTGTGTACGTGAAGGATTCGAGCAACTTGCGTTTTAACCAGATTGTTACTCGCGAGAACTACGAAAGCGGTTTCCACATGCAGGGTGCCCTGTCTAACAACGTAATCTCGTACCTGGATTCGTATGGTAACCGTGACCCGAGAAACAACGGCGAGAACGCCGATGGTCTTGCTATCAAGGAGGGCAAGGGCGAGGGTAACATTGTCGTTGGCAGCAGATTCTGGGACAACTCTGACGATGGTGTCGACTTCTGGTGCGTCTTTTGCTAGTTGCTGATGCTTTTTGATGCATAAGCTGATAGTATCGCAGGGAGTTCCACTCCAAGTTGACCATCAAGGACAGCATCGCGTGGGGCAACGGCTTCAACCGCTGGGTAAGTCAACATCAATCTCGAAGCCAATTCTCACTACACCGTTCTAATAAACCAACCTAGGACATCCCCGACTTCACCGGCAACGGCAACGGCTTCAAGCTAGGCGGCGGCAGCGCAGGCGACATCCTCCCCGCGGCCCGCGACGTCATCAACTGCATCGCCTTCGGCAACAAGGCCAACGGCTTCACCGACAACTCCCAGACGGGCGCCTTCGCCATCGAGGACAACACCTCGTGGATGAACGGCAAGACGGGCTTCCGCAGCGTCAACGCCACGGGCGTCCTCAAGCGCAACGTCGCCGCCCTCAACAACCCCGAGGCCCTCGCCAACGCCACCTACTTTGGCCAGGCGACGCTGCGGGAGCGCCAGACGTCCATCGGCAACTCGTGGGATGTTTTGGGCGCGGCTGCGCTGACGAACGCGAGTTTCAAGAGCGTCGATGTCAGCCTCGTTTCTGGCGCGCGTGGCAAGAACGGAAAGATTGTGCCGAGCGACTTTTTGGTGCTTGCTGATGGGTCCAAGAAGGGCGCTACCACCAACTGGAAATAAGCAGAGCTTGATGTAGATAGGCTTTCTTCTATTTAAGCGGACTCAATTCGTCTAAGAGTTGCGGTGGCTTTCGTGACTCTTAGGAAACCAAAATTTTAAGCTGACGTATCTCTACTTCGCGCAAGCTTGATTGGAATGGAGGTCGTCTTCGTACGAATCAGTCTACCTTATACACCGACCGGGTTAAACTCTGCCGTCCTCCTTTCGTGAATTTGTATGTGTGAAGCCATTTTACTGGACAGTATGACTGTGGACTGTGAAGACCATCCTGCCTTGACACTTACTCGCTAGTCCACCGCGATTCCATCGGTAACAGATAACGTCAGTCAATACGCCTTCGATTTTATCCAAGGCTCATTCTGTTTCCAAATTTTCGATCATGGTGCATCGTGAGGAAATCGGACGATGATAGTGTGGTTGATGAGGATCAATACGCCGTTTGTTGATGTTCTGAGTGGCGATACTGGCGATGCATCGAGGTCATTCAACAGTCGAAAGGATGGGATGCCATCATATTTACTAGAATGTGTGCATACCAGTCAGCCCTGAACTTTGTTGCACGTAGTCAAGATCTCTTGATGGGCGTTCGATTTATTCCTAGTGGCCAAGCTAGAAAGCCTCACAACTTAGCCTTCATCTTGCGCCAGACTCACGACCCATCCGCGAGGTGTGGCACACATCTCCGCTACCACCCCCACAGCAAGCGCTGTTGAGCCGACACGTCGGCCGTGTAGCGGGGGCCGGGACACGGGGCGGACCACGGGGGACAAATAAGAAAGCACGTTGCTCTCCGCTCCGGAATCGGAAGTCGAATGGAAAAAACAGGGTAATGACGGAAAGAAAGTGGGATGCGAGCCTGATTTTGAGCGTGGGATGTCACCCGGGCGCCACAGAAATAGAGGCGAAGGGAAGATGCTTGATACGACTGTTGAAAATAGGGGTGTGCGTGACGTAATGAGCATGTCAAGCTCGGCACTCCCCTGCCAAGCAAAGTCTCCGGGCGTCGTGATCAATGTGCGAGGTGTGAGATGTGAGGTGATGTGATCATGCGCGTCATGTCACGATCTCACCTTAGCTTATCTGCACCTTAAACTCTCTGCTAACGCACTCTTGATCCATTTGAAGCAGATTACCGACAGATTGGATTGAAGAGATCAATACCTAGATACAACTCCATCGTAAACCTCCCTTTCGTCCAATACAGCGTCTCACTTATTATCGAAGAACCTCACATAATGAAGTGCATCGGCATCTTCCCCGGCTCAGGAGGCCTAGGCGGTAGCACCTACGATTACCTCTTGAAACTTCTTCCCAGCGACCACATCATCCTCATCAACCGTCACCCGGAACGAGTACCTCAAGAACACATCAAGAACGGCCTCCGCGCACGCAAGGCGTCATACGAGTCGAGCCCCTCTGATCTCGAGGCTGCGTTTGCCGGTATCGAGGTGCTCTTCCTCATTTCCTATCCAAGTCATGTGCACGAGTACCGCAAAAAGGTGAGAAGCAAAGAGCTTAAGTTGGGCTGGTCTCATCCACAAGTCGGGTGGCCTGACAGGATTCACAGGTGCAACTTCCAGTCGTCGACGCAGCTCGTCGCGCAGGCGTAAAACACCTCTTTTACAGCTCCCTAGCCTTCGGCGGCGACTTGCAAGATGAATCTGTAGCGGAGGTAATGCAGGCCCACCTCTCGACGGAGCGCCACCTAGCCTCCGTCGCGGCCTCGGACCCTAGCTTCACCTACACATCCGTCCGCGAGGGTCTCTACTCGGAGTCGTACCCAATCTACACCTCTTTCTTCGACATCAACTCTCCCTCCTCCTCGAACGAGATCCTCATTCCGCATGACGGCGCCGGCCCGGGCGTGGCGTGGGCGAGGCGCAGCGAGTTGGGGGAGGCGACGGCGAAACTTATCGCGCAGTACTCCTGGGACCCGGAGCAATTCCCTCACGTCAATAAAAAAGTCCTGCTTACCGGTTCGCGGGTCTGGTCTCTTGAGGAGACGGTGAGGGTGCTTAGGCGGGCTGTCGGGAGGGACGTGAGGATCCGCGAGGTGAGCGTAGATGACTACGTGAAGTTGCCGCAGGTTTTGGCGAAGTTCGGGTCGGTGGAGAAGGCGAGGACGTGGGCGACGGCGTGGGAGGCGATTCGGGCGGGGGAGACTTCTGTTGTGTCGGAGACGTTGAGGGAGATTATCGGGCGGGACCCGGAGGAGTTTGACGTCACGATACAGAGGTTGAAGCAAGCATGAGGGCATAGTCTGGAGGCACTTTCTCGATGACTTAGGTGGGAGTGTAGATGCGAACGGCTTCGTGGGCGTAGTGGGCTACAGTAGTTGGTCGGCCACTGCCTAACATCGACTTTGGGATTGCCGTGGCCATGGGACGGAGGGACTCGCGCACAGGACTTTGGACGAACATTTCGTTGCGGTACTTGGTCGAGCCAAGTCCAGATCAGCTGGCTGTCGAACAGAACGATGACTGAGGAAAGAGGCCGAGAGCGAAAAAGAGTTGGCTCTGGACTTGAAGGGGAGAGAAGCAAAGGGAAAGAGGGACAAGAAGAAGGAAGTGAGGACAAGGCCTATTCCCCGGCTGATCTCCGGCCAGCTTGCCCTTCATGAGCCGGCTAGCCCTCCAACCTCTCAACAATGGGCGATTGGTTTAGTGGTATAATGACCGCTTAGCATGCGGTAGGTCCTGGGTTCGATTCCCAGATCGTCCAATGTTTTTGACTCGCAGCTCTATCCTTGGGGTTTCCTTTTGGTACTGCCCTCATCAGCCGTCGGTCGCATCGTATGCTTGTTTTGCCTTGTTGTGTACTCCGTAGTTGCATTAGAATTGATGGAACATGAATATTTGTATACGCAGGTAGTTGACAATGATTAGGTACATGTACCGTAGTGCGCATCTTCGTCGCCGTACATAGCTTGCGCAAGGTAAGATGACAATGGGTTCAACAACACTATTGAGAGAGCGTCGTCGAAATAAAACTTTTTAGAAAACTCTGGGACGCACTGAGGATTCTTTGTTTATGAAGGGACGGCCACCGAAGCCATTCTGGCTGTTCAGTCGCGATTGCTATGAAAGTCACTGATGAGAAGAGTGCCTTTGTTTATGAATGATCGGCAGTCTCTGCCCAAAGCTGTCTTCAGCCTGGACTAGCGCCAGGGCAGCTATCGTCGACAATGCGGCCGTGGTTTCCCTGGGAATTCCCAAGCTTTTCGTATACCTCAGATTCAAGACATCAAGTACGTCGTTTCTTGTCAACTCAATACCGTAGTGTCCGTACTTCACTCTATGAAACTATGCGGACACCTCCGTCACTGATGGGAATGATGCTGGAGTGCTCCAGATGAACTCGTATTGACGCTGGGATAAGCAGGCGGGGGATCGTATTAGCGCCCCATCCACCAAATAAGCGTTTTAAACTTAAATCGGCACCCAAATGATGTGCTGATAAGGATGAGAAGAATGCCGTGCTGTGCCGTTCCCCCAATTCAAGAGATGCAGCTGAAGACATTCTTACATACCTCCCCTTCCGGTCTAGAACTCAGACGATTCTTCCTCCAAGACACACGGCGCAACTAGCCCGTAGCCTATCTCAATCAAGCTCTTGTTGCAGGAAACGGGCTCATGCAACCCAGCAGGCCTCAAAGTCCAGCTTTGCGTGCTTTGCCCAACCCCCAACCGATCGCCAAAGTCCCCTTGAATCCTTACCGCCGCGCTACCCCGGTTCCGGCAGGTCGGTTGCCCGCAGTCCGGCACTTGACCTCCTGGATCTGTCCAAGACTCCAAGTCTCTAAGGAAGCTCGCGGGGGCCACTGACAGCCAGGCACTGCGGTGTTCTTTGCTTGGGTCGCATCGGGGTCCACCACCAGTCCTACCAGCCCAATTTATCTAGGTCTTTATTCCACTTGCTTAATCAAGTCTTCAAGGCCGACCAGACGATGCAAAAGGTCCATCAAGCGCGCTTCTTCAAAGTTTGTGGTCTGCTATTCGGATTCGCCATGCCGCTCCTCCCGTCAATTAATGTCTCTATGAAGCGTGTAGAATCTGCCCGTGTAAGCAGCCGCCTCCCATTCCAAGGGTTGCGTGCTCGTCTGATGATGCAAGATACCCCTGGCCAAGATAGACACGCCCAGCCACAGTCGAATGCTTCTCTCCAGGCTTCCAACCTTCCTTCTCCAGGTCCCAGTCCCCTCGCATTCCTCTCCGCTCTCCTCCGCCCGTCTCCCAAGCCTGTGATCTATGCGCCATCAAACGCAGAATCACCAGCCAGTCGTGTCGGTAGCCGTGGATCTTCACTCCCATTTACCTTCCCCCCTGAGCGCGGAGAAGCGAGCTTGGGGTAGCACCACCTCCAACTTTGAAGATACCACCTGCATGTTCCCTCCCCCTCTTACACCGCAGAGGTGGGGACTTTTGTCTGCAGCTTGTTGCCGCATGTCGTTCTTGCGTTGATCAGGCAGGTCTCTCAACTAACAATCCATCAGCTAGAGAAGGTAGGCAACATTATCGGCGTCAAGAAATCGAACAAAGTCAAACGAGAAAAGGGCACAGACAGGGCAGACAGGGCAAACTTGAGATACCAAGATACTTTTCTCTCGAGGCGGGCCGCAATGGCCCAAACGGGAAGGTTGTAAGAGCTGCCCAGGCGATCCCCGACGGTCCGATCCTCGTCATTCATCCTGTTCCTGTTTCCCGTTGGCTCTGCCGTCGAAAAGTGTCCATCTCAGGCCTGGAAACTATGTTTTTCTGCTTTCCCCTCTTATCCTCAATCCCTGGTAGTAGTGGTTGGACACGACTCTCCTCGTACCTCGTAACACCGTACATAAAGGAGAGCACACCCGTGCGATCCTCAATCTTGGCGATGCCTTCTCTCGTGCACCCTCGCTGAACTCATTACGCGCGGTCGCCATACACTCACTCCCGGCCAAGCTCCTCCTCTCCCTCAAGAGTTCTCTTTCTCGTCGTTGAAAGTAACATACCACCGCAACGATGAAGTCCCTCGCCGCCCTCTCCACCCTCGTCGCCGCCGCGACCGCCGCCTCAGTCGCCGGCGCGAGCTCCAAGCGCGTGAGCTACGACGGCACCAAGGTCTTCCGCCTCTCTGTCGGAGACGAGGTCGACAGAGTCAACGGCGTCGTCGACAAGCTCCAGCTGACGACCTGGAAGGGCGCCCCGAGAGCCGGTGCCTTCGCCGACATCGTCGTTCCAGCCACCGAGGTCGAATCGTTCAAGGCTGAGGTTGCTGGCATGAACCTCACCACCATGCACGAGGATCTCGGCGCCTCAATCGCAGATGAGTCTGGCTTCTCTGTCTACGCTGGTAAGTCTTGACACCTCTCCAAGGCTGGATGCCTCTCCACCTACGCCACACGGCCATCCCACGCGGATGCAATCTCGCAATATGCCAAAGTTCGTCAACTAACTTTTCTCTCAGTCGGCTCCGCCAACGCGACCTGGTTCAACTCGTACCACGCGTACGCCGACCACCTTCAGTTCCTCAAGGACCTGGTCTCCTCGTACCCCAGCAACGCCGAGATCGTCACCTCGGGCTCCTCCCTCCAGGGCAACGCCATCACTGGCATCCACATCTACGGCACCTCAAAGGGTACCAAGCCCGCCGTGGTCTTCCACAGCACCGTCCACGCGAGAGAGTGGATCAGCACCATGGCCAACGAGTACATTGCCTGGAACCTCCTGAGCAAGTACTCCTCCGACACGGAGATCAAGAGCTTCGTCGACAAGTACGACTTCTACATCTTCCCCGTTGTCAACCCTGACGGTAAGTCCTCATTCCCGCTCAATATATCACGTCAGTGAACCCTCTCGCTAACTGTCTTCATCAAGGCTTCATCTACACCCAAACCACCAACCGTCTCTGGCGCAAGAACCGTCAGAGCACCTCCGGCAGCACCTGCATCGGCCACGACATCAACCGCAACTGGCCCTTCCAATGGTCAGTCACTGGCGGTGCCTCCACCGACCCCTGCGCCGAGGACTTCAAGGGCCTCTCCCAGGGCGACGCCCCCGAGACCGCCGCTCTCTCCGCCTGGCTCGCAAAGACCAAGTCCGCCCAGGGCCTCAAGCTCTTCATCGACTTCCACGCCTACTCCCAGCTCTTCATGACCCCCTACGGCTACTCCTGCACCGCCGTCTCCGCCAAGAACACTGAGCTCCAGTCCCTTGCCAAGGGTGCCGTCGCCGCCATCAAGGCAGTCCACGGTACTTCGTACCAGTACGGTCCCATCTGCACCACCATCTACAAGGCGACCGGCAGCAGTGTCGACTACGTCAACGATGTTGTGAAGGCCGATTATACCTTCACTCAGGAGCTTCGCGACACGGGTAACTACGGCTTCGTCTTGCCTGCTGCCCAGATTGTGCCTACCAGCGAGGAGACCTACGCTGGTGTCCGCTACTTGCTCCAGAACATGAAGTAAATGGCGCTCGGGTATAACTTTTGGACGGTTTTTTATATGAGAACAAAAGCCTGATGACACCCCCTTTCATGTATCTAGTTTAACCAACCCTTTCTGTAAGTATTCCTTCAGAACATGAACAAATAAACAATCTGTACACATCAACTTTCCGTCGCAAATGTCGACCTGTGTTCTCAAACTTGTTCGCAAGCCAATCCTGTGTTTCGTTTCCTGCATGGCTTGGCCTATTAAACATAAGAACATCCGTCCAAGCACGGCCCGTTGGCACGCTGATACGCCCTCGGTGCCATGGAACCATCAAACTTCAGACGACTTCTCGGCTGCATGTGCAAGCAAAGGTGGCCAAGCACGAGTTCTCCGCCGATGTCGTATGAGTTCCTGGGCGTTGCTGGATAGGAGGGGAAGAGGGCCCGAGCTAAGGATCTTCCTACCTTATTTTTCTCTTTGTGCCGTCATGTTCTTTCAGTAGTCGTGCTCGTGCCCCGGATTACTTCATTCTTGTCTCAGAAGTTCCTTTGTCACTTTCAAGACTCCCTATACCAAAAGCGGCTTTCGAGAAGAAGACAATTTCAACGCTCTATTCGAAGAAACACCAAATAACCTCATGAAGAATACAACTGAATAACAATACAAATAACTTACACTCAATGCGTCGACTCTTAAGTCTATCGGCGCTGCTAGCAGCCCTAGCAATCCCGCTCTCTACCTTCGCCGAGCTCACTCGCCGCGAGCTCCAACCTCTCCCGCTCTCCGTCCGTGACCGTGACATCGTCGATGCCCGCAACGCAACGGTCGCCCTCGTTGGCGTAAACTGGGCAGGACACGAGCGAACCATGCTGCCCGAAGGACTGCAATACCAGTCCATCGCCCACATCGTCAAGCGCATTGCCGAAACCGGCTTCAATTCTGTTCGGCTAACGTTCGCCACCGAAATGGTGGATGACATTGTCGACCGGGGCGGCGATGTAGATCTCAAGACGACGCTCCAGAATGCGCTGGGCCCGGAGAATGGTACGGCTATCTTGAAGCAGATTCTCAAGAATAATCCATCTTTTAGCGAGAGTTCGAAGAGGCTTGATGTGTGGGATGCTGTTGCGACGGAGCTGGGCAGACAGAAGATCTACGTGCATCTTGATAATCATGTTTCCAAGGCCGGCTGGTGTTGTACGCCGTATGATGGGAACGGGTGGTTCGGTGACACGAACTTCAATACATCCAACTGGGTTCGCGGGTTATCCTATATGGCAGAGCATGTAAGTTGCAACTTACTTCCCTAAAGCACCTGATTTCTTGATCGTCCATTGGCTAACCTTCACGCAGGGGAAAGCTTCAAATTGGACAACCTTCATCAGCATGGGTCTCCGCAACGAACTCCGCGACCCCTTTTCCGCATCCCCTCCTCCTAGCCTGGAGAACACGACCTGGACGACGTGGAAGACCCGCATGGTGCAAGGCGCGAACGCAATTCACGCCGCCAACCCAGACGTTCTCATCTTCTTTGGCGGGCGCATCTTTGACTTTGACATTTCGGCACCCGTGCAAGGGGAGTTTGCTAGCGAGCCCGGGTTCAACTTCTCCATTGCCGAGTTCTCGTTCAAGAACAAGTTCGTATTTGAGCAGCATCAGTATGACCAAGGGCTTGTTGATGACTCATGCACGAGTTATCGGGATATCTTGACGGCGTTTGGGTCCGATGTTATGACTATTGGGAATAACGGGACGACGAACGGGACCATGACGAACGGGACGAGTAATCGAGCGCCGTTGGTTATGACGGAGTGGGGACATGATCAGACCGACGAAAGCGGCGCGTTCAAGGATAAGTTCCGGAGATGCCTGGTTGACTTTATGGTTGACCGGCAAATTAGCTGGATGGTATGGGTCATGGGTGGAAGTTACTACACGCGTGAAGGTGTGCAAGACAAGGATGAGCCTTGGGGTGAGTCTACTTTCTTCGTCGAGGAGATGTCGATGATTGCTAACTTCTCTGTGATAGCCCTTCTTGACCACAACTGGGATGCTTACCGCGGGAAAGCTTCTATCCGACAACTCCAGCATGACATGGAGAGGACGTACGAGGCCTTCCATCAGTCTATGCCTGATGCTGGAAGAAGTCCAGGGAATCAGCCAAAGAGTGTCGCAACGTCCTTTTCGTACAGCATGTCTTTGGCTACTTTGATAGGCATCGTCGTAGCAGGTATCTTGGCTTAGAAGAGATAGAGTGTCGGAGGGTAGAGGAGACGCTGTGTTCATTGTGCATACTCAGATCTGCAAGTCCTGTTGGATTCTACTATTGTATCTCGCCATCACCCAGGAAACAGTCCACTCAGGAGCCTTGGGTACAAGACTTGCTCTCCAAGTCATTGCTATTCACCATATCTGCTGTATGGCCAGGCTCGTCGTGAAACTCAAACTATGGACAATGTCTAAACAACACGGAATCTATGCCTACGTATAACCTACTTCCTACCAGAAAACACCTGCTTTCCCTCAAACCAAGTCTCCAACGTCTTCGCCTGCAACGCCTTGCTCGGATCCCAATCAAGATCGAAAATAGTCAAATCGGCCTTCTTCCCAACCTCGAGTGAACCAACCCGATCCTCCAAGAAACAGCTCCTCGCCGCCCCCTCCGTCGCACCCGCCAACACGTCACACAACGACAGCGCAAACTGCGGATTCACAACCGTCTCCAGCTCCGGCTCCCGCGCAGACCGCCGCGTCGTGGCAATGTACAAGTTATCAATCACATGATGCGGCGCCGTCGGCGCATCCGACCCAATCGCCACGTGCGCGCCCCCGTCAGCAAAATCGCTGTACGCAAACGCCCGCCCGCACCGGTGTTCCCCGATCAGCGTCGGCCAGGCGCGGAGGATCGCTGGGTCCGAGTGGACGGGCTGCACGGAGGCCGTGATGCCGAGTTTTCCTAGGCGCTTCGCGTCCTCGGCGGTTGTGACTTCGAGGTGCTCGATGCGCGGGCGGTGTTTCGGTCCGACGTGCGCCTCCAGCACGTCGATCGCGTCCGCGACGGTGCGGTCGCCGATGGCGTGGAGCGCGACCTGCAACCCATGTTTGGTGGCTGCTTGTACCACGGGTGCCATGTACCGCTGCGACCAGACGGGGTCGCAGTTGTCGCCGTTGTGGCTGTAGGGTTCCTTCAAACTCGCCGTGCAGCCGTCAATGATGCCGTCGCAGACGAGCTTGATGCCGACAAGGCGGCAGTCCGGGTCCGTCTCGAGGTTGAACTCGCGGGCCAGCTCGGCGGCGCGCTCGACCTGCTTAATGTTCTCGGCGTCGTCGTCCTTGGGGAGGATCATCCAGTAGGCTGCGAAGCGGATGGGGAACGGGCGGCCCGCTGCCTTTTCCTGCTTGCGGTACTCCTGCAGCGCCGTCCAGCCGTCCTCTTCCATGGCCATGTCGATGAGACCGGTGAAGCCTGCGGCCGTGTAGTCGTTGATGGCCGTCTCGATGGCGGCGATGCGATCCTGGAGAGTCGAGGTGCGGGCCATGTAGAGAGGGATGAACTTCATGCTCGCCGCCTCGGATAGCAGACCGCTAGGTTTACCCGTCTTCGGATCGCGAACAATCTCGCCTCCGGGCGGGTCGGGCTCGTTCTCGAGATCCAGATCCTTGAGCGCGGCTGTGTTACACCACGTCGAGTGCAAGTCCTTTGCGGTGATGAGGATGGGTCGGGGGTCGAGGTCGTCGAGGAGGGAGGCGAGGGGCCCCTCGGGCGTCATGAAGTGCATCCATCCGCTACAGAAGATGCGTTCGGCTTCCGGGTGGGCGGCGGCGTGGTCTCTGATTGTGGTTCGGATGTCCTCGAGAGTCTTGCAGTGGGCGAGGCTCAGCTTGAGAAGCGCCTGACCGAGTTGCGTCAAGTGGATGTGTCCGTCAACGAGGCCGGGGAGGAGAGTGTGGCCGCCTATATCGCGGACCTCTGCGCCAGCGTCGATTGCGGACTTCACCTCAGATGCGGAGGCGTCACCGACAAAAGTGATGATGCCATCTTTAATCACCAGCGCTTCTGCAAAGTTGGCTTCAGAACGCTGACCTGCAGGTGCTTTGTTTGACCTAAAGATCTTTCCGTTCTGGAAGACGACGTGTGTTGAAGCCGTCATGCTGAGTGGTTGTGAGAGTTGAGTTATTGGCCCTTGCAGTAAGGTAGGTAACACTACGCTAGAGAGACGGGAGGTTCTGTAGTCTGCACGGCGCTGTGTAACTTCGAGCAACTTTAGTATACCTAACCCCTCAGCCTAAGAGTTGTTCCAGCGAATAGCGCATGCAATACGTGGCCAAGATCGCGAGGAGGGGTGAACTAGTTGCATCATCCTCGTGATAGCACTGATAGCTTAGATACGGGCTTGATGGCGGGGTGGCATGCGGGGTTGAACCGTCCTGATTTCCGACGTTGCTCGGCCGGGCCCTCGGCGTTGCAACTGTTCAGGTGGGGAGTTGATTTGTGCTGTCAAGAAACGACGCAGTTCCTCCGTGATCGGCCTATGGAGATACATATGTTGGGGCGAAGAGTTGTTGAAAAGATTTGAGGAATCTAGGACAGGCTTGACAGGCTACCCGAGGTTCCAGCGTATAGTAGGCGCATCAAGATGCCAAGTTGGCCGTGTTGCGGGCACAACTCGACACCATACCTCGCGTCACGAATGCCCCGGCTGGAAACCCTTTCAGGACTCTTACCCCTGTCTTAGACGTTACAGAAACACACTGCTTTCTGGAATCTGAAGATTCAACAGGAATATCATGCTGTTTGGCATGCCAGTGACGATCACTGTTCCACTTCGCTCCGAAATATGAGAAGCGCGTCGCTTGTTACCGCTCGCAATCAGCCACTCGCCAAAACATTCCCTACTCGTCAGGGCCTGGCGGCCAAGACAATACGCCGTCATAGACAACTGCAGGCAGCCACTTATAAGCCGTTGAAATAGACTCTCCTGGCTTACTTCAGTCGACCAAGTTTGGGCCTCAACCTTTCCATCTCAAATCGCTGCGGTGATTTGGAGCCAGCAAAACTTCGGCTCCAATCGCGAACGGATCTCGTTGCCCCGGTGATGCTCATCTCCACGGAAGAAACCCCAGTAGTGTGATGGCCCCGCTAGGATCTTGAAGGATTTGATTGATTCTATCTATAGAAAGAGGTAGGCGATGAACCTCATCCGACTAATCAGAGACTACCTATTTCACCTCGTAAATGATGGACTCCAAATGTCTGCCTAAGTATCAGATACTAGCACCCATTGAAGCCTTGACAAGGCCTTGCCAGACATACTGCACCCTGTCTTTCTTCAATAGAAAGCGCTGAAGACAGCCAGGGGTTTACAACGGTCTGAACTGTGTCATGTGACTAAGCCGTAAGTTGTCCCGCAAATGGACATGGTCGATCCCATTCAAAGCGCGCTATTGACGCTGTTTTTTTCGATCGTGTTGAAGAGCAGAGAGAGGGTCGGTGCAACTTCTCCGCGCAGGAATGCGAAGATGGAGAAGAACCAGAAACGAATATCGTAAGTCATCCGAGAGATTGGGAAGAAAAAAGAAAGTTATGATGTAAGACCACCATCAGCTAAACGAGTATGCAAGGTGCAAGCGGTGCCAACAGAGAAAGGTACTTTTGCTCTCCGTGTTTGTTCCCCCTTTTCCCTGACCCGAGTCCGCCCTCCCCCGGCCTACTTTCCCCCGACTCTCGGCTTTTCCCCGGGTACTTGGGATCCGTACACGGCACCGCTCCGGATCCGTGTCCGGTCGAGGAAACCCGTCCGACCAAGTCTCCTCACCCGCTATCCGACCTGTCCCCCGCGCTGACACCTGACTGATCCATAAAAATGCAAATAGATCCGCTGCTCCCGCACCTTTCCATGCACAAACTGTTCCACAGCATCCGCCAAATGCGAGTTCCGCGAGAGCGACTTCAAGCGGCCGCCCGTGTCCCGTGAGTATGTCGCGGCTCTCGAGTCACGCATCGCCTCGCTCGAGAGCTTGCTGGGCAATCTCAAGGCCGCCGACGGCGATGAGCGCACCCACATCCTCGACGACCTCGAGGTCCAAGACTATGTGCCCTCCTTTTCCGGCCTGCCCTTGGCGGATGAAATTGCGCTGAGCGAGGCCATGACCAAGGCTTCGTTTCAGGAAATGACTGACGGTATTTCCTTGTCCCTTTCCTTTTCGTTCTCCTTAGTGCCGGGGTCTCCATCGCCTCTTGGCAACTATCAGTATTCTAATCTCCTCCAGGATCCATGATCTACCACGGGCCAACAAGCATCTTCCAAAACGAAGTCAGCACCTCCATGTACCCAACCAGCTCCTCCGCCGCCTCGAAGCCCTCGGCCTTCCACGAGGACAAGGCCAACCTGACCAATCAGACCATGCGCCTCTGCATCGGCCTCTTTTTCTTCTGGCAGTACCCGCTCTTCATGTTCATCGACCGGGAAGCTTTCATCCAAGAATTCGAAGAGAACCCCGTCGACGGCAGTTTTTGTTCGCCGCCCTTGATCTACGCATGTGCCGCTCTGGGTGCGCTCATGTCCAAGGATCCGGAAGTCCGGCCCAGGGCACAGGAGTTCGCGAACACGGCGCAGACCATCTTGACCACGGATGAACTGGGTATTTCGAGGCCGACCTCGGTGCAAGCGTGGTTGTGTCTTGCATACTATGAAACTGGTTTGAGTAACATGTCCAAGTCGTGGCTGTACACAGGTAAGAGTCCTTCATGAAGTACCAAATTGCTAGAACTGTGATCTGATGTAGATATCACCAGGCATGGCCTTCAGAATGGGTCAGGACCTTGGCTTGCAAAGAGACCCTACACACTGGGGCCCAGAAGAGAAGCCGAATGAGGCGAATCCATTCCCATTCAACAACGAGTTCCGACGCCGAATCTACTGGGGATCTTTCCTGACGGACAAGTGAGACATCTATATGATTCTCAAGATGCTCAGTCTAACGTCTCTCCTCTCGCAGGATGTTCAGCCTCTTCCTAGGTCGTCCAACATTTATGTACGAGAACGATGCCGACGTGAACATCAACGAACCTCTACCGTATGTTCCATTCCCAAACCCCACTTCAAAATCTACAAGTAATACACATTGGTCACATACACTGACACAAGCCAACAGACACGACCCTCCAATCTGGGAGAACTGGCTCTTCTCACACGACCTCGGCTTCCTCAAGACCATGCGCCCAGCCGGCCCAAAGCTAACGC